AGTTTTTACTGACGTTTCGATCTCTATATCCAAGACCGCTTTCAAAGATATAAATGATAGTTATATTTATTTTATTTGTTTAATATTATATATTTTTATAATCTTATATTATTTATTTTCTTTTTTTTCTATCTTTAAAAACGGTCTCTGGAATAGAGATCAAAACGTCAGTGTATTAAACATGTAAATAGATATATTGTGGCTTATTTCCAACCTTCTCCCTAAAAATGCAGAATGCCACAAACAAAAAGTTATAGAAAAATAAATATATCTGTCATTTGTATGTTTGAAAATGGTCTCTTTATAGAGAACGAAACGTCTGTAAATTGAACATTGGAAAAAATATATTGTGGCTTATTCCCAACATTATTTCTAAAATACAGAACGACAAGCAAAAAGCCATAGAAAATAAATATTACTATCATTTGTATAATTGAAAACGGTCTCTGGATATAGAGATCGAAACGTCAGTAAATAAACATATGAATAAATATTTTGTGGCTCATTCCCTACATTCCCCTAAAAATACAGAATGCCACAAACAAAAAGCTATAAAAAACAAGTAATTTTGTAGAAAGCTTACTGATGCACCCGGCTGTTGGGCAAGTTACACTAAAACGTCTTTTTGCGTGACCCGTCCTTGAAGGGTTACATAATGAAATTTTTTTAAAACAAATTTTAAGACAGTTTCACTATAAACTAAAACTCCAATAAAACTCAAACTAAATAATCACAGAATATAACTAAAAATTTACTAGAATACGATAAACTATAACACTCGTGTTATCAATAACACAATTTATCAGTAACACAACTTATCACATCAAATAATATTCACAAAATGCAACACATGCACTACCCTCAGAAACGCCAATGTAAATGAACGATTGTTGATTTCTTGATCGCCACTTTTTACGGCAGAGGAGGAGAAAAACGAGTTTTACGGCTATCTGTGGGTCGGAATTACTCCGTCGCTATTCCAAAGTTGCCAAAAGTTTGAAAAATAATGTTTTAAAATATAAATTTTTATTTTATAAATTTAAATATGTAGCGAAACGGAACATGTAAATAAAATTTGTTTTATTAAAATTTTGTGCTTAATTTTTATTATTGAAAAAATCATGTTTTTTTGGTATTTTTATGATGGTAATAATCGCTGCATGGAAGAATACAGGTTTTGTATGACCATAATTACTACTTGTGAAAAAGAATTGGCTACACTGTACGACAACTCCTGTTCAAGTCTTTTATAGAGAAGCACACATAAATATACTACTTATATATTCTGTAATTTCTTATGAGAAAACGCAAATTGCAATTTATAAAACAAGTAGTTTTCGAGGGCCGCTGTGTACATTTAAATTTGAGGATATTCGGCGTTTAAACGGTGAATCACTCTTCCAAATAGTGGAATTAGAGTATAGCTACCCCAATTCAATAAATTCTAAATTTAAAAAAATTCTAAAACCTGTTACTATAGAAAGGGCGTATGAAGAATGAAATATACATATAGTGTGACCTATGTTGAAATAACATTGAGTGCTTTTCACACTCCAATTTTTAATAATAAATGCTCATCTTATGGTACAATGTCTATTTATTACGTTTAAGTTTACTAGTAATAACTTATTATAATAAATAATAAGCATTTATTGTAATAACTAAATTGTTTGACAGTACACAAACAAAAAAAATAACGGTAAATAGATATAATATCTATTATATCTATTTACCATAATAGTTTTATCCTTTTATTCTTTATTTAAATATTTTAAGATGACCTTTCAAACGATGCGAAACATTGTGTAAGAGAAATTACTAAAAATGAATCAATTGTTTGTTTTGTTTATTTATTTCATTGTTTTGATGATATTAAAATTGGTAATATTTTTTAGGCAATTCAAATTGCTCATATTAGTATGGTAGAATCAAGAATATTTATTAATTCAAAGGAGTTATTAGATGCCAGCATAAACAGAAGTCCAGCATCTTATTTATTAAATCCTAAAGAAGAGCGAGATCGGTAAGCATAGTTAGTGATGGTAGAAAATACAAAAAAATTAACCGTATTTTAAATATAATTTACGATTATTAACACAGTTAACTTCAGAAACACTATCTACTCGATAGACGTGGTCCTGTCTTAGTTGTAAAGTCAGAAAATAAATAGAATCTTGCCCGTTTCCAAAAACTAATAATCTCGTTCCTTTGGCCAATTTCGTGCACATAAACAAAAAAAATATCATAAGCGATCCATTCTTCGAAATGTGTCAAATTCTAAAACATCCATAGTCCCTAAATAAGAGAACCGACATCGACAAGTTGAGCCAGATATATCACTCTCTCATCATACAACACAAATAATAAAAAAAACCCTTAAAAGATAGCAACTTCATTTCCATTACTCTTTCCATTTTTTTTGTTAGTTCTTGAAAGAAAAAGAAAAAATGCATCCTATTTTAAAAAAAAGGTCTGTTCCCGTTCCGCTCGCTAATGCCCTTAATAATCGTACGTCCTCTTTGCATTCCTAAAAAGCACATGTATACGACAATAAGCCACATGTGAAAATTATAACATCCTAGAGTTTATAGAAAACAATCGAAAATATTAGGGTGGTTTGACCCTCGAAAGTGATTAAACCAACATTCAAATGAAGCCATCGCATCGGTTAAAATTAAATGAACAATAGTGTTCTTACAGTTTTTCTTGTATTTTTTTGTTTCGTTTCTCTCGTTTAGTTGTTAATCTTTAATGTTAAGTTATCGTAGAGTTTTTATAACATCTAAAAAAACCTACAAATTGTTTTTGTAAGTATGAACCCTGTTGGTTGTTTACTTATATTCTAAAATCTTTTTTATTTGTAGTGAACTGATGATGCTTTTAAAAATAAAAGCGAAACGTATTCGAATAAATCAATAAAGTAGTTGACGACTTTTATTTGCCAATTATTGACCGATAAAACCTCTGCTATTCAACCATTGAATATATTTTAAATTTATTATATATATATATATATATATATATATATATATATATATATATATATATATATATATATATATATATATATAATACTTTGGTATATTTGTAAATATTTCTTATCGTTTAGGTATACATACAACGTGGACAAGGATATGGTCCAGTTAAAATTTGTAAGTAAGTCTGATAATATTGTATTTGGAGCACTCAATTGGTTTGCCGTACATGGAACCTCAATGAACAATACAAACTGTCTTGTATCATCAGACAACGTTGGATATGCATCTCTATTGTTAGAATTAGACGTAAATAAAGATTTTACTGCAGGAAAGGTAAGTATTTTTAACTTAGAAGAGCTTTTATTTTTGAATGGGATACAAATTAAAACCACTGTCTTTGAACTTATGTATCATATATTATATACCATTGAAAGTATTAGAAGCATAGAAGCCTTAGAAGCCAGTATCCAACCTTTTATGGTACATTTAAAAATAACTGATAGTACAAGTCGGAGTAAAATGTTATTCCTAGCGTCGTTCAACAATCTCCAGTAAGAGGCTTTTAATTTGTGGTTCACCTAATTCCCCTATCGAAAAGGGGTCTCAAGATTTTTGTTGCTTCGTATACACATATATATATATATATATATATATATATATTATATATATATATATATATATATATATATATATATATATATATATATAGCATCATCATCATGGCTTATTCACTCCTGCGGAGTGTTTGCCGCTCTTTTGGGCTCTCTGATTCATTTATTGCGGAGAATCAGTCCGCTGTTGTTTTTTTATTATTATAGCAGCGTGTGTGACTTGGCCCTGTCTACAATTTTCCTCCATTCTTTCCGGTCCTTACAGCGCTCCTTCCAATTGTAGATTCTCAGCTTCTTTATGTCTCCTAAGACTTGATCTCTCCATCTTGTTTTGGGTCTTCCCTTTGGTCTCTTTGTTGTTGGTCTCCATCCAGTTATTCGCTTTAGCGTAGAGTCTGGGTTAGCTCTTTCTGTGTGTCCTCAGCCACCTGAGCCTTTGCGTCTTCACGAACTTGATTATGTCTTCACCCTCGATGACTTCTTTAATTTCTTCATTGGTTAATCTTTTAAATTCGCCTACAATTATCCTCATCGGTCCCATTGTTCGTCGAATTATCTTTCTCTCTAAGATTTCCAACCTCATTTCATCTTTTTGTGTTAGGCACATCGTCTCTGCACCATAGGTGATCAGTGGCTTGATTGCAGTCTTGTAAATTTTTAATTTGGTTTTCTTACTAATGTGCTTTTCTTTCAGGAATTTTTGGTAGTTCCAGTAGGTTTTATTACCCAGTAGGATGCGTTCATTTATTTCATCCGTTCTATCATTTCTGTCATTCACCATCACTCCCAGGTATTTGAAACGGTGTACTCTTTCAAATGTATATGCACCAAGCTTAATTTCTTTCTCTATGTTCGTATTCTCTCTTGAACACTTGAGGTATTTTGTTTTGCTTTGGTTTATTACTAGCCCTCTCTTCTTTGCTTCTTTATCTAGTATTAATATTATGTTCTGCATGGTTTTTAAATCTCTAATAACCAGTGCAATATCGTCTGCATACGCTATCAGTTGGGCTGAAGATTCGATAATCGTTCCCATAATTTTGGCTGCTCTTACTGCCCCTCTACGGTAATATATATATATATATATATATATATATATATATATATATATATATATATATATATATAATATATATATATATATATATATATATATATATATATATATTTATATTATTTAGAATTCTATAAAATCTAAATTACGAAATCATTTTCCTAGCATAATTACGAAGATTTCTCCTTTTCACTCTAGGGACCTTTTGTGGGAGCATTTGCGTCAACAAATTTGGGTGATGTATCCCCGAATACCAAAGGACCGATATGTATTCACACAGGAAAGCCATGTGATTATATACACAGCACTTGTGGTGGAAATACTAAATATTGTATCGCGTCTGGCCCAGGAAAGGACATGACAGAAAGCACAGAAATAATTGCAAACAAATTATTTCGTAAAGGAAAGGTAAGTACAATATATTTTGGGTTTTAATTTTGGAGTATTAAGTCAAATATTAAATTAAATGAAACAACTATGTACATACAAACAGTTTTTTAAATGTTATTATATTTTTAAGTTATTATTGCACAGCAGAATATTAGCAAGAAATATTGTTAAAATATAAGATATTATGATTGATACATTGACATATTACAATAAAACTGAAGGCATTTTTAATCATAATTCTACCATTAATATTAGTCATCATATTTGCCTGTATCACTTATTGGGCCAACTTTCCAAATTACATTTCTTGTCCTGTTTCATATGAATATCAATCCCATTTACCGATACGTCCTGCCTAAGCTTTTTTAAAGGTCTTTTTTGTTCGTTTTGTCCTACTTCATCCAGGAGCTTTTAAAACAACAATTCTTGGTATTAGATGATTAAAGTCTTGACATTAAAAATGCTTGAACCATCTTAACTTAATATTTTTTATTTTGGCATCAATTGGTGCCTAGATTTCCGATTACTCATCTATTTAAGCATTCCATTTCCACTGCAGGCTTCGTTATTTCGTAAAAGTCAGCATTTTTATCATTGTGCGCTAGTTACAACTGCTCCCGGAATAGCAGAAGATTGCAGTAATTAATACTCGATATATAAAGCAAACAACGGAGACACAAATATACAGCGCAGCGGCGAAATTTGTTAAGAGATTAAGCAAACGCCTTTGTTCATCTACAGTTGAAAAGGAGAGCAGCTCTTAGCAATCTTCCGAGGACGCTGAAGCTGAAAATTATAGAAGAACCTCGAAATGATGCACCAGAACATCAGGAAATGTCATTATCTCTTAAAAGGTGCATTTACTGCGGCTGGATAAAGAATGGAAAAACTCAGTAATCCTAAGCACGTATTTCCATATTTCTCATATCTTGGTCATTGTTATCTAAAAATCTTGTTCTGGGTCTTCCTCATCTTCTTTGATTTCGATCATATCACAGGTGTATGTAATAATTGTAGGAAACTACAATAAAAGTATTTGCTATTTGTTGCATTTATGTTCATTTACCATTTTTTAAAAATGTTTATTGTGTTATGCTTTTTATTTTTATTTTATAATAAAAAATTAATTTACATGACATTTTTTTTCAATAGCTATTCAAATCATCGTTCTCTTTAATTTAATAAAGTTAAAAGTATTTTTGTACTAAACGTTTTAATATATTTAATTATTTTAAACCTACAAAATAAAAAAGGAAAATTCACTAATTCTATTTTTAGACCCACCTGGTCTATGACACAGAAGCAACTAAACTTGTAAGAAACTATAACGCCACTACCCGATGGTTAAATAAAAATATACTGGAAATAAATAAAGAACAAAATAAAATTGTATCCCTAAGTAATATATAATATTAAAATTTAAATGTGGATTATAGCGGCGACGATATCGACGGCTCTACGACCTAGTTTATTACCTGCAAAAGATGAATATAACAATATCATAAAAATTTAAACAAAAATACACACATACACGCTGAAAAGAAGAAATGCTGGTTTAGAGGTAGACGGCTCGATCAACACTCGATCCCACAAGAAGCGGAAAGTAACTAATAAACACTTACGATGGTCTGCAATACTCCAAGACTATTCGACGGCTAGTCACTATTATTTCAAAATAATTTTAGATTACTGATGATGCTCATATAGTAGGCTGATGTATTCAACTGTTTTCAAATATTTGGACGTTTATTTCGACGTGTTCAGTGTTTAATGTCATTCGAATACTTAAAAAGGTACCGTGCAACAGGAAATTTTGTACGAAGGCTTGGTCAAGGACGTCCAAGGTGCACAACCGCAACTTATGACCGTTTTTTGGTTCTTAATTCTACACGAAATCGTTCATTGACATCGATGCACCTCAGAAATGAGCTATTAAATGTTAGACAAGTTATTGTAAGTTCAAAAACAGTTAGACAAAGATTAAAAAGCCCAGACACCCCGCCAAAGTTCCATGACCTCCAAAATCATAAAGCTCGTTGTTAGAAGTTGCAAGACTACATATTCAGTAAAATATCGACAACTGGAACAATATTCCTCTGAGATGACACCAGAATATGAATATGTAAGCCAGATGCTCAAAATCACGTCTAGAGATGAGTCGGAGAACGATTCGCCAGCTGCAGTCTCGCTTAGACTGATAGTTTTGTAGGTAGTGGCATAATTTTTTGGGAAGGTTTTAGTTCGGAGAGACGCACTGCACTCGTGGAAGTGATTGGACGGATGACTGGTGACTCTTGCGTTTAAAACATCCTGCCAGATCAAGGTTTGTCATATGTTGGTTACATTGGATATGAAAGATTACATAGTGTGTAATTATCTTAATGAGGTCCAAATTCAAAGATTGGATTGGCCATTGCTTAGCCCGGATTTAAATCCCATAAAGTACATGTGGGATTATCTAAAACGCCACATACGACAAAGAAATCTCGTTTCAAATACGATAGAGCAGCTTCGGCTTACTGCACAGGATCGATGGAATGCAAATTCCAAGGATAGGTCCAAAATTTACTTGCAGCATTTCGCGAGAAAGATACAAGCAGTAATAAGAACTAGAGGGGGAATATTCATTACTGATCATGCAGTTCTTTCAGTTAACACTAGAAAGTCGGAGGGGCCAATTTGGTCCCTGTTGCGATTTGAAGTTATTGTAGTTCTTTTATTTGACACAATAATAATTTCATATTTTATGACTTTTAATATTTTGATACAAAGTCTTATTTAACGCAAAAAAATATTGTTTACTAAATTTATTAAATGGATTTTCTAACAAACCTACCATAGAAGTCTGAAGGGGCCAAACTGGCCCTGTATTAATTATTATCGTTTTCTCGGAAATTTGACGATTTCTTTTAACTTTCTGTCGGATAGATAAAATTATGTTTATGTACGTTTATTCCTAGAAGGTATTTTGTTACATACTGTTTGTTCCTTGAAAGTATTTTGTTTATTGAGCGGTTTATTAGGTTCTGCTGACTCTCGTTTCTAGAATATTGAAACATTCGTTCAATTGTGAAAATTCAAGACGACTGTAAAGATGTCTCGTCGTGGACTATCAGAGCTTGAACTTCTTGAAGAAATACGAAAAATACAAGAAGATGTTTCGGGAGGTGAATCTGAATTTGCAGAAAATAATGAGTCAGACGATGAACAATACGTACCACCACAAAATAATGATTCAAGTGACTCTGATGCTTCAGAGCAGTTAGAAAGTTTTATTGTACAAGACTCACCAATTTATGTAAACACTGCTTCTACAACTCAACAGCACGAGTCAGCTAATTTTATCGTGAATCCAAGTGCATCTAAGCCAAGTCACAAGAGAAAAAGAGGTCAACAAGGAAAAACTATTTCAATCGGAGACACCGAACAATCGAAAGACGGAACAACGTGGAAAGTTATTGATTCTGGATCAGTACCTGGTAAGATTATGATTTTTAGTATCTTCATATTCATTGAATGTTTGCTCATTACAGGACGCCGCGCTCAGCACAACATTTATCGAGAGGAATCAGGTCCTACGTCGTATGCAAAAAGTAACGTGAGGAACAATTGTGTGGTAAGTGCTTGGCATCTAATAATCAACGACAGCATGTTACGTCATATAAAAGAATGCACTATTGCAGAAGCACATCGATGTTTGAAAAATGACACATGGACTATAACTTTGGAAGAACTGGAGGCTGCCCTTGCTATTATGTACGCAAGAGGAGTCTACGGCGCCAAAAATTTCCCAACCAACAGCTTGTGGTCAACAGTATGGGGTCCTCAGTTTTTTAGGCAAACTATGCCACGAGACAGATTCAAGGATATTATAAAATATCTCAGATTTGACATAAAGCAAACGAGATCTGAACGATTGAAAACCGACAAATTTGCTCTAGCCTCTGCGGTTTGGAATGGATTTATAGAAAATAGTGGTGCATGTTACAAACCGGGAATAAACCTTACTGTGGACGAACAACTACTGCCTTCTAAAGCCAGGTGCCCGTTCACACAGTACATATCAAATAAGCCGGATAAGTTTGGCATAAAATTTTGGCTTTTGACATGCGTGGAATCAAAATATATTGTAAATGGTTACCCTTATACTGGCACTGATCATCTACGCAAGAAAGATACAAGTGTTGGTGAACATGTTGTTTTGCGGTTAATGGAAAATCAACTGGGAAAGGGCAAAAATGTTACGACAGATAACTACTTTACATCGTTAAAATTGGCCAAGGCATTGCAAAAAAAATCAACAAGTCTTGTGGGTACTTTGAATCGCAACAGAAAGGAAGTTCCTCTAAGCGTAAAGAGTAAAAATGGAGAATTGTATGTTACCCATATATTCCAGAGCGACGAAAAGATAACACTTACTGCATACCAAGGAAAGAGTCACAAAAATGTGCTTTTGTTGAGCTCATTACATCAATCAGTGGATGTTGCTGTCGATGGAAAAAAACTTCCTCAAACAGTAAGTTTTTATAATAAAACAAAATACGGGGTTGATGTAGTGGACCAAATGGCGCGTCTTTATACTACAAAAGTTGCTTCAAGACGATGGCCAATGCACGTGTTTTATAACATTCTTGACTTAGGAGCAATAAATGCATGGATTATTTATAAAGAAGTTACTGGAAGTAAAATCAGTCGTCGTAAGTTTATTCTTCAGCTGTGTGAAGAATTACGGGCTCCATACCTTGCCTCCCGAAATCTGGTACTATACCAGCACCACCGGATTTACCAACCACCAGCACTGTTACTAGCCAAAAAAGAAAAAAATGTCAGTTAAAAATGTTTTGTAAAGGAAATCATACTTCCAATGAGTGCCACGGCTGTAACAAGGCAATGTGTGGCAAATGCCAAAAACTGCAAACTGTATGGTGTTCCAAATGTTTAAAATGAAACTAAAAAATTAAATCAAATTCTATCGTCAAGAGTTTATATAATTTCTTAAAACTGTTTATTTTTATTTTTTGTTTATTCCCAAATAAATAGTTAATTCTAAACTTGGTTTTTATTGATTTAGGAACTTGGGGCCAAAATGATCCCTTCGGGCTTTCTAGGTAGGTATGCTAAGCCCGACTTTCTAGTGTTAAAAAGACTTGTTTAGGTAGTTTTAATTAGCATTTAAGTTTAGAGTAAAATAACCTTATTTACCTAATATTAAGCATTTATTTTTTTCGCAACATTTCTGCATATTAACGTAAAATTCATTCGATATTTTTGTCCATAAACATATTATGATACCAATCGTGAGAAGAAATATAAATATTGAATACTTTATTCGACAACTTTCTTAAAAAATTTAAATTTATGAAAATAGTTTCTTGCAAAAGCCATTGTTAATTGCCGTTTCCGAAATACGCTAATACATTCTTTAAACCATAATTTTGATACTATTAAAACTATAATATTTTCTAGGAATTGTTAGAAGATCCACATGGCACTGAGTTAAACGGAAATATAAAATTTATTCATAAATTTGTTTATATGCCTAACCAGACAGCGACGGTGCAGCTTAAAGATGGACCTTTGATCAGGTAAATATTTTTCACATTTAACACAATAGGCTCATCAATACCGAGAACTAAAAAGAATATAACAAATAGTATAGCTTTTCAAAATCGTGTTGGCTTTACATTTTCTTATAAGGGCTAGTTTCGTGCGTGATATAATTAAATATATAATGATGCCTTTAACGGAAACACAAATAATTGAAGTACTAATTATGGTTAGATGTGGAGATAAAACCAGAACGCAACAAAAAATATGTAATTTAGTTAATATAAAATATCCTGATTGGCTTGTAGTGTGGGGAGGGTGAAATTTCACAGCACTTAAGCCATAATTGATCCATTGTGCATCCTTCCAGGGAGCTATCACCCCTAACTCATTGTCCATCCTACCATTTCTAGGAAGGTGGACAAGTCACTAGGAGACATCTCTCTTATATGGGCCGGTGTGGGCCAGGACACGCCGAACGCGTACTCTCGTATTAACGATAACTTCGGGCATTCACAAAGGACATGCTCTACAGTTTCGTCTTCTCGTTCCCACTTCCTAGGTGTGTCGGCTAGCTTGAGTGTGTGGAGGTGTTTGCTTAGTTGACAATGACCAGGTAAAAAACAAACTGTCAAGCGTAGATTTTTCCTGGTCATTTCCAAGTACTTCTTTGATGCTGACTCTTCAAGGTTACTTAGTGTTACCCTGGCAAGTTTACATTCTTACCCTTCTTCCCATCTTTTTACGGTTTGCATGGAGTGACATTTGACAATTCGCGATTGTTGTAGTTGACCACCAAAAGATCGCCAGTCCAAGAGTCTTAGGTCTGCCGCTTTCCTAGCAATTGGTCAGCAATTCGGTTGCCTTTATTCCTATTGTGTTCTTTAACCCACCTCAGGATGATGGTATTACCATCCGAAGCTTGAGTTAGTGACTCGTGACACTCCATTACTAACCCTGATGTGACACGTGGTCTATTCAAAGTTAGTAGCGCTTGTCTGCTATATGTGCAGATCATTATAGTTTTCCCTGCTATACCTTTTTGAGTTATCTCTTTTGCGGCTATGAAGATACCAGCCAGTTCTGTCTGAACTACGCTGGCATTTTTGCTCATACCCAACTTTATTCTTAGAGCCAAAGAGGCTCTGAATATTTCTACGAGGTGCGGCAGAATGATATTCATCCGGATATTACACAATCCACTGTTAGTAAAATTAAGAAGATATTTAGAGAATTAACAGTAATGAAAATTACATTTTCTAATTGTTTGATGTTAGATTTCCACTTCGAAAACCGTTCTTAAAAATATTTTACAAATGAATAATTAAGGAAGCATTGTGCCCTGTTATTGTATTTGGAGGTTGACCAAAAATTGACCAGGTTATATCCAGGCGTGGATATAGCAGTTTTGAGTTTGGGTTGGGTTCAAATTTTGATTTGTTGTGCATTTATGTTTTATGTATTTGTGTACTGTGTGTTTATGTAGTGTGTATTATCTTTGTATATATGATGTATCTGTGACGTTCTTTAAATCCTTTTGTGTTGGTTTAATTTTGTTGCTGACTTCTTCTTTTAGTATTGGAAGCCAGACATGCTTTATTGCTGATGGGCCTGCTACACACAGCTTGTTATCTGAGCTTTCTCTTTTTCAGTTTATTTTTTTCATAATTATTGATTCATTTTTATTTTACTTTGTGTTCAATGTCTCAGGAATATTTGCATATCTCTGATCTGTTAAAGACTCTGTTTTTGATGTATCTTACATGCTCATTTATCCTGACACTTAATTTTCTTGTGGTTTCTTCACATAAAAATTGTTGCATTCCTAGGGTATTTTATAGATGTAGTTCTTTGGTCTATCTTTTTGTTGTTGAGTTTGGTTTTGTACAAATAGATCTTAGTATAATGGTTGTTTTGAATGTTTGAAAGAGCTCATACGACCCCTATTCTTTTTAATTAAAAATCATTGATCTGATCATCAAATCTCATATGCGCCATGTCACTAGTAGCCAAAAAATTGTAATTTAAAAAGAAAAATTGACTTTTTGCAGGATTTGTCTGCAAAGTCGTCTATTCTTGAAACAATGACGTTTTTCCATAATTTTGTCCCTGACTGTATATACCTCTGTATGTATATCTAATCCAGTAAACATTTTAGTAAGTTATTTTTCGAAAGCGATTTTACAAACTACTTAAATATTCTATACGGAATTACAGAATATTCTTAAAATATTCTGACAGTATAAATACCTTAAATATAAGAAATATGGTGTTACCTTAACATCCCTACTTAGTGTATTTTCTGCGAATTTTATTTTTGTAGGCAAACTCCTCCGAATACAAATTGTTACATTTACTTTTTCGAATCCCAAAGTTTCTCTTTCAAACCATAAAAATACAATATATTCTGTGTAGTTTGAAAAGAGGGTCTTAGGAATTTGGCAATATTTCATATAAGGTTCATTATAAACTAACAAAAGAAAAATAGAAATCTAAACCCAGAAAATAGGTATATTATTTAAATTGTTTGTTAAATTTCTAAAAATGATTTGATAAACATACACATTAGTTAAGAAAATCGCCATGGATGACTATTAAAACTTGATGTTCTTAAACTCAAAATTAAAAATAAATGTTGGTTTTTACATTAACCATATAAAAAACGCGATTTTTTAAAAGTTTTGTATACGTATATAATATATAAATATAAACTTATATATTATATATTAAATTTCTTTATGTATAGCCAGTTATCTACTTGCGTAGTACATTAATTTTGTGCGATTGATATTTGTTTATTAATTACTAAGCATATGTTACTGTTTATAAACTTTGTTACTTTTATAAACTTTAATACAACTGTAATAACATATAAAAGTAAATCAATAAATCATTAAATTCATTTAGGAAGTTAAAAATATTTAAATTAATGTTTTACTCGTTTTTCGATGCTAGTGACTTTATCCTGTAGAAGACTTAAAAATATCCGTCCGTTTAAGTTATAATATAACTTTGTTTAAACCTTTCTATAAACTTGCCATAATAAGTGTTTGAAAAAATGTTTTTGAATGTTGTAATAGTTGTTGAGTTTATCACTTTTTAGATCTGCGCAATATAATGGCTGGTAAAAATGTAGTAAAGATATCCAGGTTTACTAAATTCTTTAGTAATGACAACAAAACTGCTATTAACTATTTAAACTATGACAAAACAAATATATTTAGTCTTTTAGGGAATAATCTCACCAGGGCTTAAAAAGTATTAAAACAATAATTTAAATATTTTTTAACTTCGTTAATAAATTCAATGATTTACTAATTATTTTAAAATAACCTCGATAAAAACAACAACGAAATACCTTTCAATAAAGTAAAAAATAAACAAAGTTTTAATCACACAATAACATTACCCTAAAACCTGAACATTGATAGTAAATAGACTTTGATATACTGACCTCACAAAATCACGAAGAAATAATAATACCAATCGCAGAATAAATGGTTATAACGAAAAGCCCTATTTATTATTTAAGCAATGAATAAAAACTTATATTTTCGACTCTTAAGACAAAAATATAAAGAAATTAGAAATGTTTGAAAAGGTTTTTAAAAACCTCGACCATTATGACGTTAGGTCTTACGTAGTCCATTCTTCAACCTATATGTTCTTCTATAGTACTTTTACTTTTAAGACACTGGTTTTCAATCATCCCTATACTGTATTATCTGTGAAGCATTTAAAAAGTTTGTATTTAGTATTTTTTTACTTTAGAAGTTCACCTAATTGGTGTTTGCCTCTACATTTCCATCCGGTGTTCCCAAATGAGGTAATATGAACAAAGAGGGTTAATACACTTACTGAAATACAAAGCTATGAAAAAAATAAAACAGAAAATAAAGAACCTGTTTACTTGCACTGTTTTGGCATTAGACGGTAATCAAATCAAAATTCAGCATTACAATATAAAATCAATAAATTAAAGACTTACTTAAAGAAGCTAGTAAAAAATTGTCTAAAACAGTACAAGAATTTAAGTGGTAATATATCGTTTGGATTTAGACCAAATAATATGAAACTACTTTTAACTATGCTGGTGCTTGGTGGGGTGCGCTAGCACCTAACGTTGCATATTTTTGATATATTTAGTCGTCAGTAGTTTAGTAGCTCACAGTTAGCCGAGCTTCATGGCCTTTAGTTCCATTGTTTTCTGTTGTTTTTACAAGATATAATAATAAAAAATTTGAAATTTTAACTACAGATTCATGTATTTTCGAAAAACGGAGTGAAAACGCATGTTATTAGCTTACCAAAAGAATGCACTTTATACGTAAATTTTTTTAAAATATTTAAATCTTTTACGTTGGCATAATTTGTTTGCATACTTTTGAAAACTAATAACTTGTATTAATAAAAAAATAGATTGCAAATTTTTTTTGGGAAAACTACTTGATTAATTCTGCAGAAATTTTGTGTAGTGTTTTTATTGTATTAAAAAGATTTTCTGAGTAAATTTTGAAGGCTCTGTATGTTTCTTAAATACTGCCACAAGATTATTAACAAATCAATGATTTTTGACCCGTTTTTCAATGGTTTTTGTTAATTTTGTAAAAATGTTATTTTTTTTTAAATCTTAATCACTTCTTCCCTGTCGGAAATTTAATTGCAAAACTTTTTTGTCTTTATAATTTTTTTGTAATAAGCATATCTGTAAATGCGAATTATTATTTGTAATTATATTTGGCAGCAAATAAATCAAAAGGAAAGGTTCATAATTATCGGTTTACCCAAATAAGTGTATTTTAGAAAAGGTACTGATTGGACTATATGGTTTAATCAATAATTTTCTTATTAGAGATTTTGTATCAAAATCTTTCACTCGTCTGTGGCACAAAATGGTGTTCTATGTCATATGTAACATTTCTGCAATTTTAAGTCACAAATTAAGAATTTAGATAGTGACACGAAACTAGTAAACTGATAGTAACACAAATAAAAAGTCCCTGTAGTAATCAGTTATAATCAAGGAAATTTCTTGGTGAATGAAATTTTAATCAGGTTGCCTCTATTATCACTGTGCTTCGTAGATACACAAAGTGATATAGGAAACTATATCCTTTAAAAAACTTTACAAGATGTTAAAAATGACGAATATAAATTTGAAAACGTCAGTTTTTAAATCTAGTAAATATTAAGCATTACATCTTCACACAAAAAATGGTGGGCTTCAAATTTGATGTGATCAAAAAAGCATTTTAATAAATTGATATTGATAAGTAAACATGCATTATTTCTATTAAAAATAATATAATGTAATAGAACTGCAAACAGTTTTCACTATTGCAAATGAAATTGAATTATTGTTTTAATCAAAATCACTAGCTTCTAACGGTTTTTTCTGAATATTTTGGTACAAAGGTATTATTTTTTGGTACTAACTATCATGGCTAAATGGATCAAAAAATTAAAAGATATTCAAAAATTGTTGGTTAGTTTTTAATAACCTAGCTAAAATGATACTTGTAACTAGTAACTCATGAATTTGCCTACACGGTCAAGTGAATACTACTGAAAAAAGACTAAAATTCAAGTTATAGCGGTAGCTCAAAAGGATACATATTTTTTCATCTAACAACTTAAAGGGTAAGCGGAATGTATAAAATGTTTACAGAATGGATTGACGCGTACGCTCCTGTTGTACTTTCATAATAACAAAAGGTGTGACTTAATGTTACACTGCTTACGAAAGTGTTAAATAAAGAACGTGAAAAACCTTTTTTGCTATCTGCTTTATAAATTAAATCATTCCAGCGTATTTTAAGTTAAGGTTCAAATGATATCAAGCAGACTTAACAAGTTTGTATTTTCTTTAGGTAAAAGGATGTTTACCTGCATTGGGTTACAGTTTTGCGGGTGGAACCACTGATGGACCAGGTGTATATCCTTTTAAGCAAGGAACAAAAGACGATGATCCACTATGGACTTTTATAAGAAATAAAATTGCTGCACCCACGCAAGAAGACAAAGATTGTCATTATCCCAAACCAATTTTGCTAATGACTGGAAGGGTACGTAGCACTTATTTAGAATATTGGTTTATATATATATTGGTTTATATATATATATATATATATATATATATATATATATATATAATTTGTGTTTCTTGGATTTAGGTTCAATAAATTAAAATCATTTGCCTTTGTCAAAATTTTAAAATGTATAATATTAAGAACAAACAGATATTGTAAAATATATAAAACTTATCAAAACATAAACCGGGAAAGTGACATTAATGAATTGACAAGTAAAAGTTGATATCTGATATCTCATGTTTTACTGTCAATACTGTATAATTATTTTTATATTGACGTTTTTAAAAAAGGCAAAGTAGAGGATATATTATGACTGGAGACTGAATTATATGATCTAAAAAATGGTTTAAATATGCACGCAATATGCACTTAAAAAGTACCCAAATATGCCTTTATTATATGCAATATGCATTTATATGCACTTTAAAAAAAATATTTTTTAATTTTTAGGGCTTGTGATTTGGTGAGAAATAAAATTATGGTATAACTTAGAGAGTCTTTATTTATTACTACATTTAATAAAAAAATATAAACGAAAATTCACAAGAAAATGTCCTCGTTTTTGCTGTTACAGTATATAATCATAAAATGTTTAATATTTTCAAGAGTAATGTTATACCTTCTATCAGTTACTATTTGTAACTTCAACATCACAGGATGTAATTGGCGCAAATCCAAAATTTGACACTAGCGAGGGATCTATATTGATAACTTCGTTAAAGCTTTCATTAATTATGTTATTTATTGATCGAAATAAAGAACACCCACACATACACACACGCAGTGATCAACCGTTCCTTTGGGAACATGTGTATACCAATCTAAGAATGGGATCCACATGGCCGAAGATCAAACCGGTCACACTTCACTAGTTGAAGTGGTACCTATCTGACCCCCAGGCATTTCCTCCATCCCTTCATATCGTGTGACTTACGTGAGGAGGCTTATGATCTGAAAGTTACTTAAGGTGCCCTGGGTAATGAGACACCTTCCGTTTTTATTGACTGTGGCTATGCCACCTAACTGTAGGGATAGCCACATCTAGACTTCTCTCCCTATTTACTTTACTGACTCTATTGATTTTACTCTATCATCACTTCGGGACTTCATGGAGCCGCCATGGACGGCTTTTTTTTGAGTTTTGTGGGTTATAGGACCTTCTATATAGAAAACGAGTGAATTTATTTACGTTAAAACGTAGTGAAAAGAATTTAAGTTTGTGAAATACGTAATATTATCAAAAAACAACCGATTTTTTTTTGTTTTGGGGATCTTCCTTGTGGCTTCGGGACATTCTGGTTTAAAACTTAACCAAACTTATCTTTAATTTTTCTTCCAATTATCCCTAAAAGGTTTACTATACTTTCTTTGACAGAATCAACAACACAAATACTATAATTTAAAGACAATTTTTGACTGTCTAGTTTTGTAATAGAGTTTACAATTATGTCAAAATTTGCTTTTATTTATGACAGTTCATTCTGAACAGAATTATTCATTGAACATGTTCATTCTATGAACATTTTCACTAAAATTATTTTGACATTTCTGAACAATACAATAAGAAGGATCATCTTTCCAAATGCAGCCCAAGCGAGGTTTATTCTTCTTTTTAGCTCGATTGTTTGGTTGTCTTGTTATTCTGATCTCATGGCCCAAGTATTTATAGGAGTCAACTGGCTCAATATCTTTGTCTTCTACTGAGATGTTTTTATTGTGGACTAAATTTGTCATAAATTGTGTTTTTAAAAAATTTATTTTAAGACCAACTCTTTTTGTGGCAGCATGGAGTTCTTGGAGCATTATCTGTGCCTGATCAAAGCTGTCTGCAATAAGAACGATATCATCTGCAAATTTAAGGTTATTTAAAAATTTTCCATCTACATTGATGCCCTTTTCGTTCCAATCTATTGTTTTACAAGCGTATTCTAGCAAAGTTGTAAATAATTTAGGAGAGATGTTGTCTCCTTGCCGAACGCCTCTTTAAATACGAAAGGTACCAGTATCTTCGTTAAGTCTTACACAGGCTGTAGCATGCTGATAGATGTATCTGATGAGGGATATGTATCGGTGATCTATTCACATTGTGTTAGAGCTTGGAGCATTTTACTTTCATTGACCGTATCAAATGCTTTTTCAACGACTTAACGACTTAATGATTTGCAAATGATCATTTGTTCCGTATCCAGCTCTAAATCCTGCTTGCTCGCAAGGTTGATAGAAGTCCAGTTTTTATGTCAACCCATTAGTTATTATCTTTATAAACAAATTATAAACGTTAGTTAACAAGCTAATAGGTCTATGGTTCTTTAGCTCTGTTATATCTCCCTTTTTATGCATGACTACTATAACAGCTTTATTCCACTGCTATGGTGTAACCTCTTTTGAATGCTGTGTCAATGCTTTCAATACTGCCTTTCCTCCTGCTTTAACTTCCTTAATAATGATTTGGTCATCATCAACTGCTTTATTATTTTTTATTCGATTTAATAACTTAGACTTCTTCGATTGTTATTTCTGGGACATCCTCTGAACCCACATTCTGGACTTTTCGCAACTTGGTGCGGTCTCTATCACCCCTTTCTCTATATAATTCTGTGTAAAATTCTTCAACTACCTTAATTACCTTTCTTTATCTGTTACCACTTTTCCATTTCGATCTGCGAGCTGAACATTATTCTTCCTACCTAGAGCTTAACATCTCTTCAGCACCTTTAAACTTTTATTTTCCTTGACAACCGTTGTAATCTTTTTTGTATTATATTGTCGTACGTCCTTCTTCACTGCTTTATTAATATCTTTATTAAGTTTTTGTAGTACGCGTGCATTCGTATCGTTTTTATTCTTAAGTTCTCTTAGTGTCTCCATAAGTCTTTTTTTCTCTTGACTGATTTTTTCATCCTGATCTATCCTATGATTTGTATTGCAGTTTTTCGGTGCGATCTTAATAGCTTTTATTAAGTTATCATTTAATGTTTCGACATCCATAACGTCTATATTTGTTGTGTCTAGACATCTCAGCATTTCCTCTTCGAAGGACATGGTGTTTTCCATTTAATTCTACCCTATTGGGTGTGTTTTTGTTATTATTTTGTATCTTTGTTTTTTCGTACGATCTTTGAGATTTAGCACGATCTTCGCTCTTACTATTCTATGATCACTTCCCACTGAACAGCTATTAACAACTGTTACATCATGGAACACATCTGTGTTGTTGGTTAAGACAAAATCAATTTCATTTTTGGTGACTCTATCTGGACTTGCCCAGGTCCATTTTCTTTGGGGACTTTTTTTGAAAAAGCCATTCATTGCAAAGAGTCCACTTCGTACCAAGAAACCCAAAAACATTTCGCCTCTTTCATTTCTTAATTATATTATTATTAATAATAGTTTGTTCTTAATCTTGTACATTTTAGAATCTTGACAAAGACAAAGAATCACCAACCATTATTTTGACCAAGAAGACAACCATTATTTTGACTTAGGTTTGACTTTAACGTTTCTTGTTAGTGCTTGAATTATAAAATGCTTTTTAATTTGATAAAATATGTACTCAAAATGCAGAACTCTATAAAAACTGACTGTCATGTAATATATTTTATCGATAACCAGAAAATATATAATTTAAAACATTTCGCGAATATGTGAGTTTTTTTGGAATATTTATAAACATAAAAAGACAGCTAAATGGTAAGCTCAGGCGCGTTTTTATTTTATTATGGTCTATAATTTTATTTGCGTTGTAAGCATGACAATATTTTTCCATTAGTCTTGAAAGTTTGTCTTGCTTAAAATTTTATTTTTGTATAATATACAGACTATATACGTAAATAATAATGGCATATTTAACCAATAAATGATCCGTTAAAATAATGTACGCCATAACAGCGAAGAATAAAATCTCGAGTTTTTAAAGTCTATATAGGTTCAGAAAATGTTTTCTTGTAGTATGTCTAAGTTAAATATTATGTGAGTATGAGATTAAGTCAAAATCAGGGCTCCCATTAAACACAATATTTAAGTCAATGTTTTTTTTTTGTAATTGTTAATTTATTTTTTTAAATAAAAGTAATCGTTTAGTTGAAATTTATTAATTATTTGAATCAATGACTTAATATTTGAGTAAATTAAATTTTAGAATTTGTTTTAAAATTTAGAAATATGAAAAGTCTTTTCAATAATTTCATTGTGAAACATTGTGAACTTCTGTCAATTGGAATAATTGTCCTACATTTAATATCTGAGTCCATTTACGAAAATTTTTTAACGAACAAACCTGTTTTCTTCGTACACCTCTACAGCATGCTATTTTGCCTTTAAGAATCCTCTTCTTCTTCTTTTTCTTTTTATACAGACATGACTTGTCGTTTCATCGTTTTCGTGGTCTTCCTACTAATCGTTTTCCTATTGGGGAACCGTCTCTTGCTGTCTTTACTACTCCATTTGTTGTCATTCGGCTTATATGATCGTTCTATTCTACTCTTCTATTTCTTACCCAGTTCTTGATGCTTTCCACCTTGCATCTACGTTGTATATCTGTACTTTTAGCTCTGTCCCATAGCGTATTGCCATTAACTTTTCTATGTGTTCATTTCTGCTGTTTCTAACATCTTTTTGTCATCTACGTATCAGGTCTTGTTTCTGCCACGTATGCCATTATTGGTCTGATCACTGTTTTGTAAATTCTGCCTTTCCTTTTTTTCCGATATTTTTATTTCTCCATATTATTGCATTTATGCAGCCTATGGCTCTGTTTGCTCTATTCACTTAATCTTCCAGTTCGGTTTCGGAACATCTTAGTAAATTTGCTGTTGTAACCATGCATTTTCTTCTTTTTGGGGAAACTGACATGCTAAATTTTCTGTTGGTTATATTAAATTAGTTCAGCATACGTTGTAAATCATCTTCATTTTGCGAGAGTAGTATTGCGTCGTCTACACAGCAGATTATTTTAAGTTGTTTTTCTCGTATTTATTATCCTTTTTTAGTTCTTACTTTGTTTACCAACTAATGAAAATCTAAAAATTCTGATATCAGGGGTTAAACAGGCAATTAAAATCTCAAAAAGTGGTAAAGCGCCAGGTCCCGATGAAATTCCTGTAGAGATATTAAAAATCCTGAATGATGAAAATATAGAGTGTCTAACTAAATTATTTAATAAAATATACCACGATGGTCAAATCCCGGATGAATGGTTAAAATCTATCTTTTTACCCTTACCCAAGAAAAATAATCCTAAATCTTGCGATGAGTACCGATTAATTAGCCTTATGAGCCACACTTTAAAAATACTACTCAAAGTTATTCAGCAGCGTATATATAAAAAATGTGAAGAACAATTAGACAATACAGTTTGGATTTAGATGTGGAATGGGAACAAGAGAGGCACTGTGCGCAATGACGGTACTATTACAAAAATGCAGGGAATATAATAAAAACGTATTCATATGTTATATAGATTTCCAAAAAGCTTTTGATAGAGTCCAACATGGTAAACTCATACATGCATTGAAACACATACACCTAGATCCCAAGGATATTAATTTAATCAAAAATCTGTACTACAATCAAACAGCGGTCGTACGGGTGGAAGATAGTGAGACAAACCAAGTGGAAATTCAAAGAGGAGTTAGACAGGGATGTGTGCTGTCGCCACAATTATTTAATGTGTACTCCCAACTAATATTTCAGGAGGCACTATGGGAAAGAACTGAAGGTGTAAGGATTGGAGGGAGCATCATTAATAACATAAGATTTGCAGACGATACCGCAATCATGGCAGAGAATATAGACGATTTACAAATTCTCCTGGAAATCATTAACAGAGAAAGCAAAAAGATGGGACTAACAATGAATATAAATAAAACCAAATACATGGTGATCTCAAAAAACCCTGTTGACAACATACAACTGACATCGGAGGGTAAACCCCTAGAGAGAGTCGACAAATATAAATACCTCGGAGCAATTATAAACTCACAGTTAGATCAAGAGCAGAGATAAAGGTCAGAATAGAAATAGCTCGAAAAGGCTTTATAAAATACAAGTCAATGTTTACAAATAAGAAATTGAGTATGGCCATCAGATTGAGGTTCGTCGAATGTTATGTTTGGTCGCAACTACTGTATGGGTAGAAGCTTGGACTCTGAAAGCCCAATCTATAAAAAAATTAAAGGCATTCGAAATGTGGCTATATAGGCATATTTTGAAGATTCCTTGGACTGCAAACTTGGACTCCGAAACGATAAATACTCTCTGCTATAAGTCATCATGCAAGGTAGAGGGAAGAAAAGGCTTGGGAAGTAAGAAGAAATCTTGGCTGAGGAATATCAGAGATTGAACTTACCTCAGTGTTGAACAGATATTTCACGTTGCAAAAGATCGAGAAGCGTTTAAAGAAGTGATCGCCAACCTTCGTTAGAAGACTGCACAAGAAGAAGAAGAAGACTTTGTTTATTATTTCATTTATAATCAGGTTGAATAATAAAGTACTCCATGAATCTCCCTGTTATACTTCATTGCCATATTCAATAGTTAATTCTTCTTCTACTTTTACTTTTATTGTGTTATTTTAGTAGATTATTTCCTAGAGATATCTTTCTTGCGTACACTAAGTAGATAACGTCTTTTAATCTGACCCGGTCAAATTCCTTTGAAAGGTCCACGAAACATAAATATGCCGGTTTATTGTATTATAATGATTTCTCTTGCACTTACCTCATTATAAATATAGCGTCGGTGCCTGATCTTCCCGACCTAAAACCTTGTTGTTCTTCTGCTAGTGTTATCATTTATTTAATTTATTTGTTATTACTTTGGTTGTTAATTTTAGTGTTGTTTTTAATAAATTAATTGCTCTGTAATTTTCTGGTCCGATTTGTCTCTATTTTTAAAAAGAGGTATAAGATGCTTGATCTTCATTCTTGAAACATTTTGTTTTGTTCTACTATTTTTTGGATTAGTTTTAATAGTTGTTTGGTTAGATCTGGCCCTCTGTACTTTAGGGGTTCGTTTGGTATTCTGTCCCCTTCTGGTGATTTTATATTTTTAAGTTTCCTGAATGCTTCCTTTACCTCTTCCTCCTCAATATTTATTTCTTTGTATGTCGTCACCTCTGGTGTTGGTTGTTTATTATCGTCACTTTTAGCAAATAGGGATCGAAAGTAGTCTACCTGTGTTTCCTTCTGAATGTGTTTCGTTTTTATTAGTTCGTTGATCTCTTTTCTTTGGTATCTGATCACTCTCCATATATCTTTTTGTGTTAAGTAGAAGTCGTGTTCCATCTATTTTGTGAAACTCTGCCAGTGTTTCTTTTTTACTTGTCTAACTAAAGTTTTTGACCTTTAAGCATCCGATCTAGTATTTTATACCGATTTCCCTTCACTATATATCTCAGATAAGACATTTTTTTGTGTTTAGCGGCTCTTAGCAATTCTCTATCTTTATTGACCCTCCTTAGTTTTTCTTCATTAGTTTTTTTTGTTGTCCACGGTATCTTCAGCATTCGTCTATAAATTCACATTTCCAATGCTTAAATTCTGTTCATATTTGATATTTTTATTGTCCAGAATTATGCTATATACGAAATACAGACCAAATATACCACTTAACAATTCTTTGCCTTAGTTCCAGACTGAGATCATTATTTCAAAAAAATGTTTTTATTTCTATAAAAGTAGTTCTAGTCATTGCTATTCTTCTTTTTATTTCTATATCTGGATCCAGTTGGTTTATTTTGACAGTTCTCAGATATGCCATGTTGTGAACTTTCTCAACTTGGACTCCTATTAATTGAAGTTCTAACTTCAACAAACATAATTTCTGACAGAATACTGTATTGTCCGCGTATTTAATTACATTATTAATTTTCATTGATTTTGATTTCATATTGCTGTTTTTTAACTGTCTTTCTAAATAGCTGGTCTAAGTAAACATTAAACAATGTTGACGACAAAATTCAACCTTGTCTGACTCCTCGTCGGTGTAATTATCTTAAATTTTTATGACAGCAGTTTGATTTCAGTACAGATTTTTAATGACACGAATATCTTTGTCATCTATTCAAATTCAGTGGGATTTAAAGTTCGTATTTTACCTTACTTTTTTTAGTTAACAGGATGCCACAATCGAGTCGATGGAACATCAATTTGTCACAAACTTAAAAACGATAAACTTTGTTTTTTCTTATGCGGCACTACAGCGACAGTTTATCGACACTCCAATCGAAATCAGTTTTCCATATTTAGTATTTTAAATAATTTGCCAAATAACTGTGCATATTTTATAAATAAATGGAGTTGATATACGGGGTAGAGAGAGCAGGATAAAAGCATATTACAGTAAAATTTAAGAAACATTTTGTTACATTAGATCTGCCGATTTTGAAAATTAAGTTATCTGCATCATTCTAGCTGTGACATCAAAATCATGCATAAAATAATTAAATATTTATTATTATTTAAGTAAGTATAAGTGGTAGATTTGAAACCCAAAAAATAGCTTATGCTATTTTAGAAGACTTAATTTTAGACATAGTTATTTAATTTTGGAATGCAACTGTTTTCGAATAAAGATTGAACCGCTGACACAAACCAATTTTATTGAACTGCAACTGCATAAATTAAGCTGTGAGCCACTGTATTTATACTACTTAAAAAAATTGGTTAATTTTTTATATTTACCTTTATAAAATGAGTGCAAAGTACAAACTGTTAATGTTTTTTTAGATGGTCTGGCCGTACGAATGGCATCCATCAGTTGTTTCCACTCAAATGTTTAAAATCGGTCAACTCTTCTTAGCAGGAGTACCTGGAGAATTCACGACAATGTCAGGAAGACGTTTACGAGAAGCAATTTACCAAGAGGCAATTCAGAATGGAGGGGACAAAAACACTAAGGTTGTAATTGCGGGTTTAAGCAATTTCTATACACATTATGTAACTACTCATGAAGAATATCAGGTAAAGGAAATTGTTTCGCTCTAATACTATATCAGATTCTAACGCCGTTTGTGAGGTAAAATAAAGGACTTGTTGATAGTCCTCAGACACATCGTCTAAGGCCTAGCAACCCAGTGGAGTCTTAGGTTATCATGTGACTAATTTCATTTATAACTTAAACATTCTAGTTTTTTAATATTAATCCTATTTTACCGGACTAGTTTAGCCGCACATGATTACCGGACTATCATAAATTTTACTACCTATAAAAAGTATCTTATAATTACAAAACATATATTCAAAATTTGAGCAGGAGAGTTTTTATCACTCTAATAACATATTTTAAACGAAATAAAAATAGAATTATAGTTTATTCGTCTTCCGGGTTTGGACCGTGTCATTTGTGAGTGACCCAAAAGTGGGTTCATCTCGACGTTTCGCTACAATTGTATGTAGCTTCTTCAGGAGAACAAAGAAAAGAAAAAGAAAACAAAAGACAGGAAGATGGGTAGTTAGCAACGGTAACTCAGTTACTCAACGCAACCAGAGGCGAATACTAACTACCAAGATGGGCATTTGGTCACAGTAACTCAACTACTCAACGCAGCCAGAGGTGAAAACCAAATGCCAGGACAGGGATTCACGTCCAACAGCTCAGAACACTAACGCGTCGAGGCGGGGTTTTACCTCTGGCTGCGTTGAGTAGTTGAGTTACTGTGACCAAATGCCCATCTTGGTAGTTAGTATTCGCCTCTGGTTGCGTTGAGTAACTGAGTTACCGTTGCTAACTACCCATCTTCCTGTCTTTGTTTCTTTTTCTTTTTCTTTGTTCTCCTGAAGAAGCTACATACAATTGTAGCGAAACGTCGAGATGAACCCACTTTTGGGTCACTCACAAATGACACGGTCCAAACCCGGAAGACGAATAAACTATAATTCTGACTCTGGCCGTGGAAGCCTACAATTTCATTTAAAAATAGAATCAGTTAATGTTTTAAACACTTGGTGCAAATTTTTCTACGATGCTCACCGCATGCTTGCATACTTGGCACTGTGTAGTTGTCATTCGCCGTTTTAGCTTGGACGATGAAAGCAAATTAATCTTTTTCTTTCTTGATATGTGGGAACTTTTTCTCCAGCAGGTATTTTAAAATGTGAGCTATATTATAACGAATATTTCGACGCAAAGTAGCGGTTGCTAATCTTTGTCTCATCCATAGTTCGGCAAGAGACTGGCTCAAATCAACCATATACTGGTACCGAGAGACGTGATTTTAACCTCGTTTTTTGTATTGTATGTGTAAATGACATAGAAATTAATATTGCCTATATTAACTATATCATATATCTACGCCTGATTTTGTGTTATTGTAATTTTTTATAATTACAGGCTTGCTTGCTGTTACTTCTGATACTTCCGTTTCATGTAAAGTTGAAAGCAGTAGTAGTAGTTTCACTGATATAAACCAGTTTGGTATTAGTTTTGTTTCCCAACTAGAGACTTGCATCCAACATATATTTACTGCAGAAACCACATAATATAACAATACTAATCAAGTACTTTAAATGTTTATTGGAGATGTAAAATCTGAAAGGACATCTTTCCAGGAATCCTAGCAGTTGCTCATCAATTGGAAGATATGATGATGAGTATATGAATTGCAGCATATTTCAATGACAATATCCCATATTTTGCGGATATGAGTGAAAGGATCATTTACTTGTCTCTCTTGCCTTATTTGCTTTTCGTCAAATTTTATACAATTTTGTAGAAATGTTAAGCGATTACAACTCATACTCGCTCTGTTAAACGTTCCTGAAATGGAGGTGTTTAAACATATATTTTGCAGATAAATGGTTATCTTTTTTGCGACAGAAAGGACAAGAATTGCAAATAAGGCTCTTAATTCTTCAATTGATATTTGAGACACATTTTCATGATTATTATGTTTCTCAGCTTGTCTTACAATTTCTGCATTTGTATGTTGCAAAATAATTTCAAATAATGTGTTTGGAAAGAAATGTAAGAAGTGTTCATTAAAAGTATTACAGTTTTTAGTGGTACCTCTGGGACCTGATACGAAGTGAATAAGATTCCTTGCAGCTGTCCTTCTTAATTTATGGGGAACTTCGGTCGACCACTTATGACCATTCTTACCCTTAAAACTTTTTTTGTTGGGACCACTACATACTTTGATTTTCCAGATATCGATGTAGAAACTTTTTCAATATCCGAAATGGCATCTTGCCCTGTCGGTTCATTAGAACAAGGAGATACAATCAAATCTTCGACAGCTTCATTATCCGAGTGTGAAGATTTATCTCCAGATTATCTTCTTCCCAGTCGCTGCCACTGTCTTCGAAGGGATCTGAGTCAAAGTCTTCACCATTCATAATACGCGCAGCCTCTTCTTCCAGTTCTTTTTCTGTCAGTGGTCTTTTGGAATCCATTTTACTGAAATCCAAAATATATTGTTCTAAAGCTATTTCCTTGGGCATCTTATGTAATTTACTATTTTATTTAGGAATAAAGCCACAATGTTAGTTTAAAATTATTTTTTATTTGACTTTTCGACTTTCACTTCGAAAATCGTTATCAAAATACCGATTACAAAAAACCATTTCCAAAGTGGATGTCGAAATGTCAAATAAATAAATTTCAAAAATTTTGGCTGTATTTCCAAATAAAATGATAAATTACAAAATTTATATTTATAACAAGAATACAAAATAAAATATTGAGCTAACAACTTACCTCTATGAAATTTATTCGAAGACGATGGAAATCGCCAAAAAAATGTACACCTATTAATAAAACCATTGTTGATACCGGAGCTTTGTAAAATTGACGATGAAGGTGTGGTAATTATATTGTAAAAATTTTAAAGGGTACAAATGCATACAACACTATCTAACTAACGACTAAATTAGAAGGTAACAAGCAGTCCAAGGTCGAGCGGTGACCGTAATAACCTGAAAATACTTAAAGAAGTATGCGGATCACAAAATTTACGAATGTCCAGTAATCTAGAGTTAAGGATGTAATTTTAAATAAATTTTACCAGATTTAAAGCGTTTTAACCTATTTAGTGTGTGATAGTTATGTGATGTAGCCCGATTGGATTTTTATAATAATATACCTTTTATAAAAGATTTTTTTAATTTAATAGACTTCTAACCTTATTGTCTGCTTGCTCTTCGATTTTTTGTATATTTTAAGTCTGTTGTGTTTACTGTAAAGCCTATGTTCAATATATTGATGTTAGGTGATGTAGCCCGATTGGATTTTTATAATAATATACCTTTTATAATAGATTTTTTTAATTTAATAGACTTCTAACCTTATTATCTGCTTGCTCTTCGATTTTTTGTATATTTTAAGTCTGTTGTGTTTACTGTAAAGCCTATGTTCAAAATATTGATGTTATGTGATGTAGCCCGATTGGATTTTTATAATAATATACCTTTTATAAAAGATTTTTTTAATTTAATAGACTTCTAACCTTATTGTCTGCTTGCTCTTCGATTTTTTGTATATTTTAAGTCTGTTGTGTTTACTGTAAAGCCTATGTTCAATATATTGATGTTATGTGATGTAGCCCGATTGGATTTTTATAATAATATACTTTTTATAAAAGATTTTTTTAATTTAATAGACTTCTAACCTTATTGTCTGCTTGCTCTTCGACTTTTTGTATATTTTAAGTTTGTTAAGTTTACTGTAAAGCCTATGTTCAATATATTGGCATCCAGATTAATTTTCAAGACTTTGGGTAACCAATTTGATGACTTTAGATCTACAAATTGCTGAGCTCTGAATAATTGTTATAAACAATATAACCGTAATAGTCTTCGTCTAGTTTACGAATCGTACAGAGTGGGATTTTCATTCGAAATCATCGTCAAAATGGATAGAAACAAATTTTGGAAATTTTAAATTAGATATAATCTGAACTGGATTCTTTAGTTGTATTTGCTATATTTTGAACCTTCAGGTATTATTTTCCCTAGAGGATTAAATATTAATATGGCAGGCAATCTTAATGTTTGGTCCCAAGCTCGGATAATATGTGGAAGGTGATTGGCAAGGTTAGCAACATACCAATTGTAAAAAAACAAAAACTGCTCAAAGAAACAATGAACAGCCTCGAAACCGGATTGATACTATGAAGACGACTACGCAGAATTAAGTACAAGCGAAGAATCCAAGACCAATGAGAATCACACTTGAATGTCAATTACTCACTCAAGAACAAAATAAGTGCTGAAAGAAATAGACAAGAAAAATCCAAGTGGAGTAGTAAAAGAAAACAGGGCCAAAGAAGGTGTAACCTTACTAATACACCAAAGGCACCAAAATCACATCAAAGAGTGTCAATACATATGAGAAAGAATAGTAACAGCAAAGATAAGAATGAAAATGGAGACCTGAACATCATCGGAGTATACGGCCCAGAATATAACAAGTCTTAAACAACAAGGCAAGCGTTTTACGACCAATTACAACAATAGTAGATCAAGTTAGAAGAAAGATGATAATATGGGGGATTTTAACGCTCGAATAGGCAATCAAGTAATACCGGCATTAAACAAAAACATAACGAGAATGTAAGAACTGAAAATGGAGAACTGATGATCAACTTCTAGACGAATAACGTACTAAGAATAAACAACACATTTTTTCAATCACAAAGACCAACACAAATATACATTTAATAACACCCGTGGACAAAAATCTATGATAGATTATGTTATAACCAACAGAGATATACATCCATCAAGAATAATCGAGGTAAGATGCCTCAACTCAGCAGATGTAGGTAGCGACCACAGCCTAGTATTATGTAAAATAATAATAATCCTGAAATACTTCCACCCAAAAGAGCAGCGCCAAACAAACAAAAATCAATGTCGAAGGACAAATACAAACACGAATACTTATACAGAAAAGAATATCAGAGAAGATCGCTGGGAATGAAATATTAGAAAACGATAATATCGAGGAAAGCTGGGAAAAACTCAAAAATAACATAATTAACGCAGCAAGATGGAGAGAGAAGAGTAACGAACAACAACATATCAAAAAGAAAACACCATGGTTTAAAAAGGAAGTAAAGATAAAATGTAAAGAAAATAAGAAAGCCTTTTTACAATACAGAACACAACAGGCAAACAACCACTATAAACGAATCAGAAATGAAACGAATACTTTAATTAGACAAATAAAAAAGGAACACTGGCAGAGTTCCTCAAAACAGATGAAACACGACTTCTACGAAACACAAAACGAAATATGAGAGAATGATCAGAGGACAAAAAAAAGAGAGATTAACGAACCAATAAAACCAAAACACATTTAGAAGGAAACATGGGTAGACTACTTTCGATTCCTATTTGCTAAAGGTGACGACACCAACCCCAGAGGTGACAGAATACCGAACGAACTTCTAAAGTACGGAGGACCAGATCTAACCAAACAACTATTAAAACTAATTAAAAAAATAAGAGAGCTAAACGAAATTCCTCAAGAATGGAGATCAAGCATCCTAATACCTCTATTCAAAAAGGGAAACAAATCGGACCTGAAAATTACAGAGGAATTCATTGATTAAACACAACAGTAAAATTAACAACCAAAGTAATAACAAATAAATTAAATGAAATTATAACACTAGCAGAAGAACAACAAGAGAAATCATTAAAATACAACAAACCGGCATATATATGTTTTGAGGACCTTACAAAGGCATTTGACTGGGTCAAATTAAACGACGTTATCCACTTACTGTACGCAAGGGAGATACCTCTAGAAATAATCATACCTATCGAAAATATATACTAAAACAACACAATAAAAGTAAAAGTAGAAGAAGAACTAACCGCCCCTTATGACGTTGGCAATGAGGTAAGACAGGAGACATTGAGTCCTCTATTGTTCCACCTCATTGTAGATGAAATAATAAAAAAATTAAGAACTAAAAAGGATACCAAATGTTAGAAAAACAACTTAAAATAATCTGCTATGCAGACAACGCAATACTACTCTCTCAAAGTGAAGATGATATTCAAGGTATTTATTGTAACCGCCAGAAAATTTAACATGTTAAGTTCTCCACAAACAGACAAAATGCATGGTTACAACAGCAAATTTACTAAGATATAAATTGGAGCTGAAAGGTCAGATAAAAAAAGTGATGGAATTTAAATATCTAGACATCACATTATCTAGCTACGGAAAGCTAGAAACCGAAGTGAAAGATCAAGTAAATAGAGCAATCAGAGCCGCAGGCATATTGAAAAACAGACAGATTCATGTCTATATACCAGTCTGAGTAGCTCAACCAGGATCTTCACTTCAATTCTTGACTTTTTCTATGAAAATCTTAATTTTTAGGTGTTTATTATCTCTAGATAAAAACCTAAAATTAGCCAAGGCTGTTATATTTATATTCTTAAAATAAAGATTAGGTGAGATTTAATAGGCTTTGTTTTGCATATATCTTGTCAACACCACCAAAGTCAACATTTCGTATTATTAATATTTTTGTATAATTTCAGCTTCAAAGATATGAGGGGGCTTCCACATTGTATGGACCAAATACTCTAGCAATTTATACTAATATTTTTAGAAAATTGACAGCAGCAATTTTAAGGGTATTTATATTTTTAATCATTAATCTAGTAAAAATTAATATTATTTTATTGTGTGAGATACAAAAGTATTGACAGTCAGTTTATTTAAAAGTATCGTCCATTATTCCCCATTGTTAGATAATAAGTTATTCAAATATATTTGAAGAATGAATAAAACACAATAATAATACATACTCGTGAAAAAATTAAAAATTATTTTAAAGCTTTATTTTTAGTACAATTTTTTTTATTTAAAGGCAGCCGCATCAACCATATTGGTTATTAGCGGATTGATTTTATGTAAACAATAATGCTTACAAATAACAAATAAATAACATACTTATGTGTGGTTCAAAATGTTACAGTCTTTTAAAAATTTCACAATATTTTCACTGGTACACTCACTCAAAATATCTCTGATAACTGATGGAATTTGCACAACTCGTACATTTTGGTGGTTAATTCTTCATGAGATATTCATGTGTGAGTTTGCTGTGTCCTAATCGGAGTCTGGTTAATACAACTCGAAGGAAACGGCTAGGGACGTTGTTACCCCATCGTCCACAATTTGGTTTAATTTCTTTTAACTTTGAGGATTTTTCTTCCCAACATTTAGTCCAATTACATCTTAGCTTTTGTTTAAAATACGGATTGAGATCTTCTGCTAATGGTTTTATTATCGGTCTCATATTTGAGGAATTTGCTATTTCTCGAGTATTTTTATCAGCTAGTTCGTTTCCTTTAATGTCTATATGTGATGGTACATCGGAAGTCAGGAATATTAGGAAATTTATCTGAGTTGTATCTCATTTAGAGCTCTGTATATTGCATGTATGTAAAAGTTTTGATTAATTCATTTAAGCACTTTATATCGCTGGCATATGGTAGAATAGCTTATTTTAAAATATTTTTGAGTTATTTTTGAGTTTTTTCCAGCTTTCATCGATGTTATCGTTTTCTAATATTTCATTTCCAGCGATCTTCTCTGATATTATTTTTCTGTATAAATATTTCGTGGATTCCGTATTAATCTTTTGACTTTAATTTTTGTTTGTATTAGTGCCCCTCTCATTCCGCTTTTCAGGTAGTCAACGTCTTATTATAGCCAACGATATTCTGGCTTCTGTGCTATCCCTACAGTCTCTTTGGTGGATTGTTACATACATAGAAGAATTTTTTTCAAGTTAAAATTCTAATATATCCAAGTTGTATCTGAGGAACTCTCATTCGTCGACGAATTATCAAGACTGACTAAACTTTTACTTCTTATTGTAGCTAACGATATTCTGACTCCTGTAATATTCCTGCAGTATCTTTGGAGAGCTGTTAAGGACGTAGAAGAATTTCTCCAAATTAAAATCCTAATATATTTATTCTGATGCTCATTGGTAACTCGGGATTTCACCAGACCGAGCTTTATTCTGTATTAAATATGTCTCTAGAAACTTATTCCATTTCCGCAAGACATTAGTCTAAAAAATACCTACTGTTTCTGCCACTACCCACTGTTACTGGCTTTCTTCAATTAAAGCGATAATTTTTGCAGGGTCCAACGCAAATATTAAATTACCATTCATTATAAATCATTTACAAATTTTACCAAAATAAATTTTTAAAATGTTTGCACGCTGGCAAAACAAAGATCAATTAACTGGGTATTTAAAAACCAAAAAATGTGTATTTTAGATGAAAAATGACTATTAAATATGTGATAAGAACACGGATTTATAAAAATAAAAAAATCGTGAATACGAGGAGTGATAAACAATTTTTGAAACTATGTGAATAAATAAAGACAATATGAAAGACCATGTTATATATACCATGTTTTGCAGCAAACTGTAAATCTGACAATACATAATTACTATTCTCACTTATATACATAATATAATTTACAACTATTAACAAATTTTTGTCGACTTACATATACTTGATCTAATTTACTTACCGTTGCACGTCATCGGCGTCATAGGCCGTGACGGCAATTAATACCAACACGAAATAGTAAAGATTTCTATTAATGTTAACTTAAAGAAATACACAATAATATGTTTCATTTAATTTGTATAAATGTATTATAATGCTTTTTATGAAAAACATTTGTTCGGAGCACACTGTAATTGTAATCGAACGAAGGTGATATTTTGACATAAATTGGTAATACTTATTTGACAGTTTCGGTGTTGACACTTTTTGTACTTATTATTTTGAATTTTAAAGTGAATACCTCTTGGTTTATATTTTTAGCTATTTAATAAAATCTATTCTGTTTTATTTATAAATTAATATTATATATATATATATATATATATATATATATATATATATATATATATATATATAACAAATATTAATTTGTTTTGTTGTATAATCCATTTTTGCAAATTATTATGTGACCTATTTGATTTAAAATGGATTCAGGATTTTTTTGTACTTTGGCAACTATGTCAACTTCGATCTCTGTCAATGATAATGACGTGCAACGGTAAGTAAATTAGATGAAGTATACATATTATAATTTACTTGTTAATTAATATGGTTAATTAATTTTGTACGATAACAAGAACTGTAGCTAAATTATACTAATGTAAGTATTTTTATATCAGGGGGAAACAGTAAACGACGAAGGAATACCTTATAAGTTTCCAAATACTCTTTTTTCGTTACTGCCTCCAGTTGTGATGGACAATCGTGGAACTGGTCACTTTGGTGATTGTATTGTTCAACCGAAACCTTTATATCACATCGGAGATACGGTGTCGACTGTTTTTGTAAGTAACTACTAACAAATATTTATAATGATATATTTACAATTATTACTAATATAATATTTTACAGAAATATATTTTATTAAATCACTTTTTAATCATATTTATTAATATTTTTTAAAGATAAGAAACTTTAGAAACATAAATTTAACAGTTGAAATCGTTAAATGCGAGGACAGCAGAGTTAAAAATTTCTTACTAAAGATAAACTACTGTTTATCTTTCGAAAATGTCTGAATACACCAACTCTGGAGAAAAAAGCTTTACCGACCATCCATTCTACTTCAATTCAAATAACTTTGAGAGTTTGCATACCTTCTCTCTCTCTCTCTCTCTCTCTCTCTCTCTCTCTCTCTCTCTCTCTCTCTCTCTCTCCAGCTCTCATAGCATACCTTCTTCACCAAATTGTTAATTATTTTCCCAGAACAGTGACACATTGATTTCTTGCGATTTACTAATCTCACAGCAAAACTATGCTGGTCCTTCTTTTGAAGTGTTAGCTCTAAATACACCCATACCTCCACATACAGTGATCAATGTAAATAAAATCACCGTTTTTGCATTAGCTATTATTGTATGATAACGTGTGTGCTATTATAACAGTAATAGTTGGCAAAATACCAATGTGGCTTCTGTAGACAGAAGTCAACAATAGACCAGATATTTGTTCTGCGACAGATCCTTGAAAAAACAAGTGAATATAACATCGACACACATCATCTCTTCATAGACTTCGAAAGCGCATATGACAATATAAACCGAGAATTCCTAACAAAAGCAATGAAAGAATTTAATATACCAACACAGCTAATAGAATTGATAAAAGAAACACTAACAGTAGAAAGTAAAATCCGGATACAAAACGAATTAACGGAAACAATAGATGTGAAGAAGGGACTACGCCAGGGAGACGCTCTATCATGCATATTATTCAACATCATACTTGAAAAAATAATAAGAGACACAACAGTTAATACCCGAGGAACAATAATTAATAAAAGCGTGCAAGTACTAGCATTTGCAGATGATGTTGACATAATCGCAAGATCAAGAAGAGAAATGATAGAGGCATTCATTCAAATAGAACGAGCTGCAAAAAATAGTGGTCTTAAATCAATCAGACAAAAACAAAATATATGCCTGCAAATAAAAACGCACAAATAAGGCAGCTGCCAAATTTAACAATAGGAGAATACAACATTGAGGCGGTAAAAAACTTTACATACTTAGGATCCCTAGTTACGTCTGATAACAACGTTGCAGAGGAAGTGAAGAGGAGAATATTTATTGCCAATAAATGTTACCATGGCTTAATTAGGCAACTAAGATCAGATAACGTCTCCAGAAAAACAAAATGCCAAATATACAAAACCTTAATAAGACCGGTACTCACATACGGTTCAGAAACCTGGACACTCTCTAAAAGGGAGGAAACGTTATTAGCCACCTTTGAAAGAAAAATCTTGCGACACATATATAAGGGCACAAAAGAAAACGGGATTTGGCGGAGAAGGTATAACTTTGAACTATACAACATATACCAGGATCCGGATATCATAACATTCATTAAAATAGGAAGGCTACGTTGGATTGGACATGTGGAAAGAATGGAAGAAGGCGAAATACCAAACAAAATATTCAAACAAGTGCCAGTAGGAAAAAGAACAAGAGGAAGGCCGAAGCTGAGATACGTAGAACAAATAGAAAATGATATAACAACATTAAAAATTAAAAACTGGAAAAAAAAGCACGAAACAGGTCAGAATGGAGAAGAATCCTTGAACAGGCCAAGACCCAAAAAGGGTTGTCGAGCCAGTGATGATGATGATGATTATAACAGTAAAAGATAACTGTTCCAAACCCTGAAGTAGGTAGCAAGATCCTAGCCGGGGACACTTTTAACAATTCGTGTTTATTTCGTTTATAATATACAAAAAACAACAGATATATCCCTTCCCATATCTTTCAAATTAACATTAACTGGTAGGAGAATAAAATAATTTACTTTGAACCTTTAATTATATATTGAGTACTTGAATTCTTTTTCGTCTTGATGAGCATATCCGTTATGAATGTTGGTGATCATCATTTCAATCTTTATCTTATCTGCAGCACCGCGGAAAAGCTGTGCAGACCTTGTATTGAACCAGATTTTGAGGTTCTTTAACAAGATGTTCTTCTTTGTTTTGGACCTCGTTTTCCAAATATTTTTCCTTGCAGGATGGCTTGAAGGAGAGCATATCTGGATTCATTTCGCATATGTCCAAGAATTGTAACTTTCGAGATTTGATGATGATCAGTACCTCTCGGTTCTTATTCATTCTTCTGAGTACCTCGTTATTTGTGACTTGGTCAGTCCACGGGATCTTAAGTATTCTCCGATATAGCCACATCTCAAATGCTTACAGTTTTCTGCACATACCTTCGTTCAAGGTCCACGGTTCAACACCATAAAAAAAGACAGGGAAGCCGCAACATCGCATCACAGCATTATTACTTTTGTATTAAGAGAGAGGTTGTGACTTTTAGTTGTAGTGCGTCACTTTTTTTACAAGAGATTGGTTGACCTAGAGTTGACCTTCTGTTATCATTTTCTTGCTAATTATCATAAGCTTTGTCTTCTTAACGTTTATCATGCGTCCATATTGTTGACTGTAATACGTGATTTTGTTCATAAGAACTTGTAGGTCTTCTAAGTTGTCCGCAAATACTATGGTGTCGTCTGCATATCTGATGTTGTTTAGTCGGTAACTATTTAGTAGAATACCTTTTTCAGTTTCGTGCAAAGCTTCGATAAATATTCTTTCAGAGTACAGATTGAAGATTAGAGGAGACAAAATACAGCCTTGCCTCACTCCACGCATGATTTTCACATAATCAGTGTGTTCACCTTCAACTCTGAGATTTGCTGTCTGATTCCAGTAAAGATTTCTAATTATTTTCAGATCTTGGTTGTTAATTCTTGCTTTTTTTAGTATTTGCGTCATCTTGGTGTGCTGTACTCGATCAAACGCTTTCTCGTTATCAACCAGACATGCGTATACGTCGCAGTTGATGTCTTTGCATCTGTGAAATAAGACTTGCACTGAGAACAAAGCCTCTCTAGTACCAATAGCATTTGTGAACCCGAACTGGTTAGGGGTAATTTGACTTTCACACAACTTGTAGATTCCATTATAAATTATCTTTAGGAACAATTTTAGGATATGACTCATGAGGCTTATAGAACGGCAATCTTCGCATTTTTTGGCACCTGGTTTTTTTTTTTGGAAGTGCAACTCAGCTTTCTGCCATTCTGTTGGTATTTCTCCTGAGCTATATATGTTGTTGAATAACTTTGCGATTATTGCTATTGTTTCGATGTCTATTCCTAATGTAATATTCTTGGTCCATCATTTACCTCTTCTTCTAGCTCAAAGGTGTTATCACCTTGGTCTTCAAGATATTCTTTCCACGTTTTTATTTTACTCTGTTTGTCCAAGATGATGTTTCCATCAGAATCAGATTTATTTCCTTTCTGTCTTGGTCTTACTCCCCCTGTGAGTTCTTTAACTTTCCTATGTACATTTTGACTATCGTACTTTGACTGCAGAGTCTTAATTTCTTCGGATCTTTCCCTTGCTTCTTTTTCTGTCGCTTCTTTGATTTTCGTTCTTATTAATATATTTATGGTTTTTATATTTGTCTGGGTCATTTTTGGCTTCCCTTTTCTCGTCCATTAATTTTAGGATCTCATCTGCCATCCAGGAGTTTTTCTTAATTAATCAATATGTCTTTAAGTGTTTATCCTTTACGTTTTACACTATTTCTGTCATATATTGGATCGTTTGTTTTTCGTTCTATTCGTCTCTAATTGCAGACACTTGCTCTTTTAACGTGGCTTGAACTCCCATCTCACTCTCGTATTCCATCCATCCGTCTCTTTCAGCGTACGTAGGTCGTACGATTGTGCCTTTCTTTTTCTGTACTGTTTTGAGTTTGTCTTAAAATACTCCCATTAGTGGAACGTATTCTGTCTCCAAGTCTGCTCCAAAATAAGTCTTGACAGATGTAAAGCTGTTCCGGACTCTTTTATTTACTAAAATGTTATTCTATTTGATTTCTAATTATTCTCCTGGGTCTGTCCTGAGGGGATTTCCACGTGTACGACTTGCAAGGTGGAATTGGAAGCTTGTGTTGGTGACAACTAGTTCTGAGTCGTCTGCAAATTTTTTTAGGAGGTCTTCTCTCCCATTTCTGACTCCAAGTCCATGTGCTCCAATATACTGTGTCTTAATTACTATTTATAACTGGGAATAAGCCACATTAAAGATAAAAATACATTTATTGACGTTTCAATTTCCAATTCGGAAATCGTTCTCAAAATACAAATAGTAAATTAAACAAATTTTGTTTTTTGTTACATAGTGAAAAAATTCTTCTGATAATTTAATTTTATCTGACTCATTTATATTGACAATTCAGACATACATTATGCATTTTAAAGTAGACGACTTTAAAATGATATTGCCAATATTGTTGAGTTGCGCTCCTGGGACGACTTTACTTATAAGATAGTTCATTCGATTACATGAAATCAACTTTAACTTGAGAATATCCGTCAGAAAAAATCATAGCATGTAATTCGTCTTTAAAAAGACAAACACATGACATGATGACAGTAAAATTCTCCTGTTAGTGATTCCATAGTAAATTATGAGGGAAAAACCAGGAAAAAAACCTCATAATACTATCCCGACATTGTAAGTATTTGTTCGTGAATTTAGTTTACCTTCAACAAACATCAAAATTCTGATTTTATGTTACGTTATTTAAAAAACATAAATGATGTATCCTCTATATGTTACTGACTTACTAATACTGGTATTTTCTTATTAATAACTTCCTCTTTCAATATTGGTAACCAGATCCTACTACATTCTGCCGAGGAATTTGCGACACAATTGGCCTCATTTAGCATAATTAGAGCCGCTTCTTTGATTTTTCTTTTTTTACCATCCGTTTCTTTTAGGACTATATTTGAATTATTCCATTGAACTCTATGTTCATTATCCCATGCGTGTTTACATATTTGAGATCTATCAAATTCTCTATTTTTAATATAAGATTGATGTTCACTTATTCTAACATTTAATGGCCTTGATGATTCACCTAAATAAAACTGATCGCATTCACAAGGTATTTTATAAATGCAATTCTTTGTCCTTTCTTGTTCATTGTTAGGTTTGGTTTTGGACAAAATAGATCTCAACGTGTTTGTTGTTTTGAATGTTGTTGAAATGTTGAATTTATTTCCTATCATGATGGTAAAAAAAGAAAAATCAAAGAAGCGGCTCTAATTATGCTAAATGAGGCCAATTGTGTCGCAAATTCCTCGGCAGAATGTAGTAGGATCTGGTTACCAATATTGAAAGAGGAAGTTATTAATAAGAAAATACCAGTATTAGTAAGTCAGTAACATATAGAGGATACATCATTTATGTTTTTTAAATAACGTAACATAAAATCAGAATTTTGATGTTTGTTGAAGGTAAACTAAATTCACGAACAAATACTTACAATGTCGGGATAGTATTATGAGGTTTTTTTCCTGGTTTTTCCCTCATAATTTACTATGGAATCACTAACAGGAGAATTTTACTGTCATCATGTCATGTGTTTGTCTTTTTAAAGACGAATTACATGCTATGATTTTTTCTGACGGATATTCTCAAGTTAAAGTTGATTTCATGTAATCGAATGAACTATCTTATAAGTAAAGTCGTCCCAGGAGCGCAACTCAACAATATTGGCAATATCATTTTAAAGTCGTCTACTTTAAAATGCATAATGTATGTCTGAATTGTCAATATAAATGAGTCAGATAAAATTAAATTATCAGAAGAATTTTTTCACTATGTAACAAAAAACAAAATTTGTTTAATTTACTATTTGTATTTTGAGAACGATTTCCGAATTGGAAATTGAAACGTCAATAAATGTATTTTTATCTTTAATGTGGCTTATTCCCAGTTATAAATAGTAATTAATTTACAATGCCACAAGAAAATAGCTTCAGAACAATATACTGTGTCTTATCTCCAGCTCCAATCTTGGCATTCAAATCGCCCATAATGATGAGAACTATGATACTGTTAATGTTCTGATCGAACTTATTTGCTTCTTTCTTCTCTTTGTCTGCAGTGGGAGCATACATTTGGATGATATTTATAATAATAGGTACACATACAATAATATGATAGCACAGTACTTGAGCTACTGTGACATAATCCTTCAGGCGGTTGTCAATTTACGTCTTTGAGTACGCTGGCTTATTACGTTACCATTATCAGCAGCAAACTAATGTTTTTATCTATATAATATAATAAGCTACCTACTAGTGTATTGAAAAGCTAAATATCGACAAATATACTTACAGATTTTTCAAAAAGACACGGTCCAAATCCGGATTTCTAACAACACTATACTTAAACTGTTAAACTAATTTTAGATATCTGGTAATCCAAGAAACAATAATTTGCAAGAAGATACGTTTCTAACTGTCGAGAAAAAAGACAATAATTCTTGGAGTATCATAGCAACGGATGCCAATTGGGAGACTAAGTAAGTTTTTGTTTAATTTTTGTTTTTAATCAATATTCTATTGTCTGTTTTTAACTCTCTCTGGACAAAAGAAATATACAGTTTTCAATTTTTTAGCTTTCACATAATGCTCAACAAAGCATTGTTTATTTTAATTAATATCTTTGAATTCGTTGCTTCTTCTTCATTGTGTGTCGTGCTTGTTTTCAAGCATTTGCTAGAGTCGTATTAAAAACCTGATGAAATTTTTCTCGGTCTATGGTAAATGGAACAATTCTCTGACTGTTTAACCTATGCACTGTCTAATATTACGTAACCTGGGCAGTTGACTTCTTCTGACCCAGCGTTTTCCGTCGATTTTGCCTGAATCGTCAACCGATGTAAGCGATATTTTGGTCCTCCCATTTATGAAGAAAGTATTGGACCTTTCTTATTTTATTTATTATCCCGGTTTTTTATAGCGTTCTCCGCCTTCCAGTTCCCAGTTTCCAGCTACGTCGGTCATTCCATTCGCCAGGGTGAAGGTTTCTTTCCGACATTGCCTTCTGGATGCCACCCAGCCAGCACTGTTTTGGCCTTCCTCTCTTCCTTCTTTCCCTTGGCGTCCATTTTAAAATTTGGTTTGGCAGCCTGTCGTCGTCCATTGTTTTCACATGACCATACCAGATCAGTTGTCTTATTTGAATTTCGTCAATGATGGTTGACTTGACTCCCATTATATTTCTGATATGGTTATTTTGTGTTCTATCAACCTTATTTAAGCTGATCTTCTCCAGAAGTACATTTCTAATGCAAGTAGGCGTCGCTCAAGGGATTTAGTAAGTTGCCATGTTTCGCATCCATAGAGCACTATACTTTTAACGATGGAGTTTAAAAAGGAGATGCTTTCTTTGATTTGATAGTTCTTTTGACCATAGCTAGTTAGTTTAGGCATCCTATCACCGTTTTTCCTTTCACGATTCTTTGCTCTATTTCTTTTTCGGTGCGCCCACTCTTGTTGATTGTTGTTCCCAAATATATATATTCCTCACAGTTCTTGATTGTTTCATGTTCGGTGACTATTATATCTTCTACTTCATTTCCGATGCTTTAGTATTGCGTTTTGTTTCGATTTCGCTTCCTTGTCTGCTGCCACTACTACTTGGTCGTCCGCAAAATGTACAGTGTATAATGTTGTATCGTCGTCAAGTTGGATCCCCATTCCTGAACAGTATCTTCTCCAGTGTTTCAGTGCTTCATTTAAATAGATCTTAAATAGTATTGGAGAGAGGCAGCATCCTTGTCGTTAGCCTTTTGTTACTGGAAATTCTTCTGATAAGTTGTTGTTTAGTTTGATTTTTGATAATGCGTTATTGTATAATTGTTTGACTGCAGCGATGCTCGTGCTATTTAATGAAGATCGTTCAAGAGACTGCCACAGCTTTCTCACAGGAATCGTGTCATATGCTTTTGTGAGATCGACAAATAAAAGATGTATATCCTGGTTTCTTGCAACTTTCTTTTCATTCAATTGTGTTAGGGTAAATATGTGGTCTACGCAAGATCTTCCAGCTCTAAATACTGCTTGCTGTTCAATTTCATGAGAACCTCATGAAATTGGACCTTTCTAATTTTCTAATTATTATCAGAAATAAAAAACACTAAAAATGTAAACATTAGGTGAAGCAAAATCAAAGAACACAGAAAAAACTCTACAAAAGAAAGCAGAAAGCCAAAAACCTTGGATGACTCAAGAAATACTGGAAATCATGGAACAAAGAAAAAAATATTGAAAAAAACCCAAATAAGTACAGAGAAAAACATGAATTAATAAGGAACAAAATATAAGAGGTTAAGGAAAAGTGGATGATGGAAATATACATCAAAGTGGAAAAACTGCAGAAAAAACATGACCATTATAATTTACATAAAAAAGTGAAATAATTATCTGAAAAATAACGAACAAATACCTTACCGATTAATTGACAAAAACAATAAACTAACTAATAATCTAATTAAAATAAAACAAGTATGGACTAATATATTGAAGATCTTTTTATGGACACAAGAATGGAACAACACAAATTGATAACGAGGAAGCTAAAATAATATTAAAATCTGAAGTTCAATATGCTATAAACAACTCAAAATTTGTCAGAGCCCCTGGGCCATATGAAGTTCATATCGAGCTGATTAACCCTTTAACAACATATACAAATCTGGTAGGATATCTACAGAATGGCTGCTATCGACCTTTGTTCCGCTACCAAAAACCAAGAACTCCAAACACTGTAATGACTATAGATTAATCAGCTTAATGTCACACTTATTAAAAACATTTTTAAAGATTATACATGCAAGAATATTCAGAAAGTGCGAAGCGGATATGAGTAATAGACAGTTTGGCTTTCGTAATGGCTTCGGAACAGTGGAAGCTCTGTATAGTTTCACAACTCTTGCCCAAAAAATGTCGAGACCAACAAAAAGATTTTTTCGTTGCATTTATAGACTATGAGAAAGCTTTCGACAAAGTTAAACATAACATTCTCATGGAATGTCTAAAGAGAAAAGGACTCGACAAAAATGACATAACATAGTGAGAAATCTCTATCGGAACCAACAGGCTGTGGTAACATTAGATGGAAATAGTACAGATGCGCAACAGATCATTAGAAAAGTGAGACAGGGCTGTGTACCTTCACCACTACTTTTTAATATATATTCCGAAGAGTTATTTACACAAGCAGTTAAAAACTGTACAGAAGGGATCAAGGTAAACGGTGAAAATATAAATAACATCCGTTATGCTGACGATACATTGCAGCTGAAAGTGAGACAGACGTGCAGACATTACTAAACACAATTTATAATACTGTAAATAGTTTCGTTTAACAATAAACATAAAGAAAACAAAAACCATGGTTATCAGTAAGAGGAAAATCATTATGAGTCTGGATTACGGAGATCTGAATCCGAAATCAGCAATTCGCTCAAGAATGTTATGTGTTTTCTACTCTTTTGTATGATGTCGAAGGTTGGACTTTGACGAATACACTTCTCAAGAAACTAGAAGCCATTAAAATCTGGGTCTATCGGAGAATCCTACGAATAAGTTGGGTGGATAGAGTTCGTAACGAAGTTGTTTTGCATCGGATGGGAAAAGTTACGCAAGTCGTCAAAACAGTTAAAAATCGCAAACTTGAATATTTTGGCTATGTTATGCGCCACCCAGAGAGATATGATACACTTCATTTAATAATAAAAGGCAAGGTAGACGAAAGAAGAGGGCCCTGTCGAAGAAGATGGCTTAGAAACCTGAGAGATTGGTTTAACAGATCCTCTGCATCTCTTTTCCGAGCTGCCGTCAACAAAATTACTATAGCCAATTTGATAGCCAACACTCGATAATCAAGCTGAGCACATGAAGAAGAAGAAGCTCAAGAATAGAGCAATTAAGAGCAGCATCTTTAAAGATGAGGAGATTTCTGAGTAACCAAGACCCAACCTGCAAATCCAATATCGGATAAAAAAATTTTATATCCAGTCTATTCTTCTTTATGGTGTCGAAGCTTGGACTGGTAATGTTGACCTAATGAGAAAACTGAAAGATTTTGAGATGTGGCTTTTTAGAAAATTTTTAAGATACTATGAACCTATCATATTACTAACGAAATGGTGTTGCATAGAATGGGAAAAGACAGAGAACCTTTGACCACCATTAAAAGGCGAAAGACAGCTTATCTGGCACACATACTTAAAAATGATAAGTACGAATTGTTGCAGCTGATTATGAAGGGTGAAATCGAAGAAAAATGAGGTCCTGGTAGACGACAAATATCTGGTCTGAAAAACATTCGCGACTGGACCGGGTTAAACACACAGACGCTCTTAAGAAAAGCAGAAAATAGAGACGAATTTGCAGTAGCTATAGCCAACCTTTCACAATAAGATGAAGAACAAAAAAACACAATGTGTTTAATTTATCAATATTTTGTATTTTGAGAACGATTTTCGAAGTGTAAATCGAAATTTTAAAAATACTTTTTTTAAACTTAAATGGTTTATTTCCATTAAAAGTATTACGTTTATTAAGATGCAACAAGGAAATAACATTAGATCATCAATACTATTATGTATAACACAACAATATTTATACTGGCAGTGTGGATTTGAATATAGCTATTAGATTTAAATATTCTAGCAAGTATTAATATCATTTTTATTTTAAGGTTTATCTGGAAGAGAGTTTCATTTTTTGGCGAAAGTCGTGCTACAATTAAGTGGAAAATAAATAATAATATAGAACCAGGAACTTACAGAATTACTCACCATGGATACTATAAAGGGATTGTTATATCAGGAATGGTACGCTATAAAGCTATACGACCATATTTTGGGAGTTCCCATAGTTTTAACGTAACAAAATAAAAAACAATAGATGTATTCAAAACAATGAACAGTCATTTATATAATAAAATATACCATTATATAAGATGTTATTTATTTATTATTCAAAAAAGCATAAAATTATATTCCCACAATCAGGTGCAAAACATTCTTTCATCGTTTATTTACGACTTTTTGTAACTTTTCAAAATTATTAATGGAGATTTATTAAAGCCACATATGTATAAATTCAGGCGCGCCTCACACATTTAATATTGTTGCGAACATGCGTTCAGCATGTTCAGTTCTTCTTCTTCTCGTGCCACTCCTAGCGGAGATTGGAAATCATCATGGCCACTGCGACTTTGTTAGCAGCGCGCCTGAAAAGTTCAATCGAACTACATCCGAACCATTCACGTAGTATAATAGCACACCCTGTATAATATACAGGGTATACAATGTATATGTACCACAACATTTTACAGTTGTTTCCAATTTAGGGAAAGGTGAAATAAATACAAGATGCATTTAGTATATAACAATTAAGTATATTAATTTTTATTTAAATAGTAGTCAGTGTACTATTTATTTATTTAATACACGGGATAACCCCATTAACAGTTTAAATTACAATATACAATATCACAGTTAGGATTCAAAACTTGAAATTGCTATATAAAATCAATATTAAAAAGTTTTAAAAAATGAGACTAAAAATCTTACATACTAAAAAACAAACAAAGTATAACAAGAACAAAATTTAACTGAGTTAAAGTTATATTGAAAATATCAAAATCGTGATCATTTAATAGCCCCTTGTATCTATTCCATGGGTTGTGAATACCATAGGTTGTTCTGTGGAAAGGAATATTGAAAACATTGTGGTACCGTAGAACTTGATGGGGAACATTAAAGTTAATCTGGCTTAACAGGTTTGGACAATCAATAAATCCATGTATGATCTTATATATAAATATAGCTCCTGACATGTCACGATGGTTCTTGAGTGAGGGTAAAGATAATTGTTGTTCGGTTAAATACTTGCTTTCCATCACGAGCTACAAAGAAAAAAAATTAAATTATCAATAATTATATGGTATCCATCCAATATGAAGTTATCATAGGTTAAGTGAATTACTTACATGTTTTGCTCCGATTGCAATTAAAGTAGGTAATATTTTTATCTTGCTTGTATTTAGACACAACATAGAAGCTGCAGGATGTTTCTTCCATTGATTGTTTCAAAATAATAAATTCTTAAACAAAAAAAAATTAAATTTGGAAATGTCCATTACTATTATATTTTTAATTATATTTTATTAAGTACATAGAAATATTCTACAATATTTTAACAAAATATATCCTACTAAATTAAATATTAAAATAAAACTTACCATCCATATTTGTAAAATTAATTGTTTGTCAAACTTTAAATTATGAACATTTTCCAAATGATTAATTAAAAATTTTCCTTGTTGAAAGGAATTATCACAATCAAGTTCCAAACATTTAAAACCCCATACATTTTTAGCATAAAATATGCGTTCAATCTGTTTAAAATGAATTTGTGTGATGTGTCTATTTAAGTAAATTGTCTTGAAAACATTTTATCACAATATTTACACGTTACAGGCATTTATACAATAGTATATTACATAACGAGAGTTGTAAGAAGCTTATTACATGCGAGTAAAAAAGTTGCGCGCGAGCCGCGTAGCGGCAAGCGCAGTAATTTTACAAGCATGTAATAATCTTACAACTCAAGTTGTGTACTATACTTTTTCTACCATTATTTTGTTTATAAAAATAAAAATTAAATTACCACTATATTTACACTGACAGTTTAATAATTTTTAATCTGTCAAAATAACGTTACCATGGAAACGTTAATTCGTTTCCATGGTAACTCGACCAACTGACTTACGAGGCTTATGTGATATTACACATTTTTATAAAACTGAAGCGTAATTTTTTTTATTACGTGCTAGTCATTACGTGTCAGTATCAGTTATGATGCATTTACTTAGCATCCAAATAGTAGGTAATATACAATTTACTAGTAAGAGAGTAGAAAAAAAAAATAATAAGACACCAAATATAAACATAAGAAAACAAATAAAGTTAGGTTAAGTCCAAACAAATTCATAAATGTCAAACTGTCAAATTCAAACTGTTCCATATGTGTTCCATTCCCAAAAGCTTATGTGGTGGGGGGTGCCTAGTCGGGAAATTAAGCTCTCGTATGTTCAGTTGCATCTCGAAAGAACATCGACAACTTTCGGGTGATATCGAGCGCTGTAGAAATGCACCCGTCAAACAACGAATTAGAGGTGGTACTACACCAGATGATTCTAGAATAATACTTTTAGTATATATTGTTATATTCCTAATTTGACATGAGAAATTAAAAGACGATATTCATATTTATTTATTTATTTATTTATTTATTGACGGGCTAAACCCTTTTTCAGTTTTTGTACAATATGTATAAAATACAGTAAGATACTTAAGCTAGCTACAACAGTTTTTTAACATGTTTTTTAAATGATGCAGTTGAAGTATTAAATAATTCTAAATCTGTTTGGTAATTGTTCGCCGTACGTAACATTCTAGAAATTACTTCATTAAATCCATAATTAGTAGAATGGAAATCTACAAAAAACAGGTCAGAATTACGGGTTCTTCGCATAGGTATATTAAATGAGATTAAACCCAAAATTTCAGGGCAATTAATAAATCCATTTAGAAGCTTATGCAAAAAATATAATTCGAATTCAGTTCTTCTTGTCTCTAATTTGTTCATTTTAAGTTGATTAAGAATAAAACTGTAATTATAGTCTCCACGTCTTAAACCCATTTTATAACCACATATCCTTAAAAATCTGTTTTGAACTTTTTCTAATTGAGTTTTCTGGGTATTATAAAAAGGACACCATATAATACTACAGTATTCTATAATTGATCGCACTAGCGAACAATATAATATTTTAAACGTAAAAACTGAAAAGTCCTTTGAATTTCTCTGGATAAATCCTAACATTTTAAGGGCACGTAAAGTTATGTCATTAATATGATCATTAAAGCTGAGTTTTCTATCCAGTGTTATACCCAAATCTCGTATCTGACGTATCTCTTGCAGAACCGTACCATTAAGTGTGTAATTATTATTAAAAGTAGCCTGCGTTTTACTAAACGTGATTTTAAAACATTTTTTTAGATTTAAGTTTAAAACATTTACTTCACACCAACGTGAAAAATTATTTAAGGACAACTGCAAACATTCACAATCAAAGAGGCAAGCAATAGATCTGAAGATTTTTATGTCATCAGCGAATAATAGAAATTGGTCGGAGTTAATTACTGTTTGTAAATCGTTAACAAATATATTAAAAAGCAGTGGACCCAAATGAGAACCTTGTGGAACACCTGATGTTATATGAATTGGTTTAGACAAAAAACTACCATATTTAACCATTTGAGAACGATTAGACAAATAATGTTTAATCCAATTTGAGATATTATCGCTAATGCCATAGCCACAAAGTTTGGCAATCAAGATCTCATGATTGACTTTATCAAAAGCTTTTGAGAAATCAGCATAGATTGAATCAACCTGAAAACCAGACTCCAACGAGTTAATGATAAAATGTGTATAATTCACGAGATTTGTAACTGTGGATTTACCTTGGCTAAAACCATGTTGTTCACCAATTATTATGTTTTTACAATCAAAACTTAACATTCTATTTACAAACAAATCTAATAGTTTTGGTAACTGTGACTGTATACAAACTGCACGGTAATTTTCAGCATTATCTTTCTGACCAGACTTGAAAATTGGTGTTAAAAAACTAGATTTCCAGAAATTTATTTAGTGACGTTTGTCAAAAGTGACAAGTATCATATCGTTGAAACGAGAAAAGTATCCCGTAATTTTTAAGTGTTTCAAAATGTTGGAATACTGCATCAGGAGAAAGCCGGAACGAGTACTGTACGAGGCAGAGCAAGGGAAATGAGAACGAGATTGCAGAGGAGCAGGGACATTTTTGGGAAACGTGAACAAGTTTCCTTGGATCGCAACATCAGCAAATAAGGAGAGGTGTTTGTATGAAGATATTGGCTAATCATCAGCGAAAATAAGTTTAATTTTGTTATGACATGAATGTATGATTTGCGTATTAAATACCACAGTGCATATGGAACTACATATTTCACTATTATAAAATCATTAACCTCAGGAAAATTTGTTACTTAGACAACATTACAGTTTCTTTTTATAAGAGAATATTGATAAAATAAAATTTTAATATCAAATAAAATTTGGAGACAAAAGAAAATAAGATTCCTAGTTTCGTAATTGTCATATAAAAAATAAAGATAGAAGAATAAATAATAAACTTTACAATATTAAACATTTATTGCAGTTTGATACAATAAATGACTTTTATAATTTAGAATTGAAATTCCTGTGTATATTATTTTATTCATTTTTTCCTATCCCTATTCGGAAGTCACTGAGAAATATTTTAAAGCCACGAAAGAAAGTAAGTATTGATAGTGTGATTTAGCCCTAAGATATACAATTTATTTATGTTTGATTTATTTTGATTAATTAGATAATTACTTAATTAATCAATTAAAGTAGATTACATCCACAATCATTTATAGAGTTCAAAATAGAGCACAACAATATGTAACGATATTATGAGTAGTTTGAACTTGATGAGATAGTACCGAACACTAAACTTATAAATAAATATATTTATATAAATTCGAACAGCTCGTTTTATTTAAAAACGCTATAGTTGGTGTCCGGTGTGAGATTTCAAAATAAATTCAGCAGTTACTTTTGAAAAAGACATTCAAATTTTTTTATGTATTGTTCGTCAGGAACATCCTCGTTATTTGGTAGTGATCTTTGTACGAAAGAACATTTAAAAAAAGTACGTGTGTGCCTGGCCAAAGATGCTGCTAGTAGAACTTTCAGTAAAACAGTTGCGTTAGTAACTAGAAGAACGTGATGAAGACTGCAGCGGGTCCAA